ATGGAATCTGGATACAAGTCCTGGGTCAGATATGTGGTTTACAAGTATTTTCTCTTACTCTGTGGCTTGTCTTTTATTTTGTTAACAGTATCTTTCAAAGAACAGAAGATCTTGCATCAGACAAAGTCTGGTCTACCTACTGTTTCCTTAGTGGATTATACTTTTGGTGTTGTATCTAAGAGACCCAGGGCCAGGAGGTGGTTGTAGGGGTATATGGTCAGGAGTTCTTTTTTACATGTAGTTTTTATGTAATTAGAAAAAATAGAGACTGTACGTTACACCTGTGACTTCACAGGCATTAATGCTTAGATGAGGTTCAAGTTCACAAAACGAATGCCATTAAAGACAGCACGAAGGTAATTGTAGTTGATCTAGGTGGTGTAGAGAAATCACGAACGTGGCACAGGAATGAGGAAAATTCTGGAAGTGTAGGGATGAGGGGATAATGCCCCAGAGAGGAGAGAGAAGAAAAGGAAAGTCATTTCTCTCCTATCAGGCCCTGCGTGAGAAACCACATTAACAATCCTAATCACAATAATAAGCATTTCCTGAGCTTCCGCTCGGCAGTAAGAGTTTTACACACATTACCTCATTTAATCTTTAGTCTTAATCCGTACCTCATTTAATCTGTAATTGTCAGTCCGATTTTACAGAACAACAGGAAGGAAGGGCAACCGGGGCTGAGGGACACAGAGCCCGAGAGTCACGTGGGGTCGTAAAGTGCGATCTCACAGCCTCTTCTCCCAGGGGTGGGGCTGCCCTGTGCAGGGGCCTCCTGTGACCTGTGATCCAAGTAGCAAGGATGAACTTAGAGGTCCCAGAGGGCTGCTTTTTGAGGCAGTGAGTTCCTTGTTGCAGGAGGTATCCAAGCTGGTCTCTTCTAACACAAAATGCCCAAATTATTATTTTTTTTTTAAATTCTTCCCAAAGCATTTACTCACACTCTTCGTCCTCTGTGTTTTGTCATGAGGTGCAGCCGGGCAGCTCTTCTGGAAAACCCAGGCACTGGAGAGAAGGCAGGGCACTGAGGCTCCAGAGCCTCGAGGCAGGCTGCTTAGGCTTCTAATTGCCCATGCCCCACCCACCCCTTGAAGGAACACAAGGGCCGTGTGGTATATCAGAGAGGGTGCTCTCGTCTGGAGGCCTGACCAGGTTCTGCCACTGACCTGCTACAAGACCTTAGTTAAGCCCCTTCCTTTCTGGGGCCCTGGTTTCCCCACCTGTAAAACAGCAGAATTAGAGGGGCTGTATGCCCACTGATGTCATAGGGGTTTGGTTTCAGGCATCCGTGTCCAGACTCAGCCTCCCTCCATCAGCCTCCAGCCTGGCTTAGAACAGACACTCAGTGGTCCCTTGGGCTATGCTAGTGAATGAACGAATGAATGAACGAATGAACAATTGCGTGGGTGGAGAGTTAACGTACACCACCTGCCGTCAGTGAGAATTCAGCAGTGCCTACTTCCTGAGTGAAGACGCGCAGCTTCCCAGAGTGCCCTGCACAGCCCTGGGGCACAGGCGACCTGGAGTCCTTGCAGGGCGGTGTGTTGAAGGTGATCATTTTTGACAAACGGCAATAGCGGGTCTTGGACAAGTGGTGTCTGTATCCACCGGTTGGGAGACAGACAGAGATCTCAGCCTGGGGCCACACAGTGTTCTCTGATCTTTCAGGGATTTGAGGGAAGAAGAAAATTTGGAGAATCCTCCCATTTACTAAGCAGACTATGAGGGTGCTACGGGCAGCAGCCCTTAAGAGTGGAATGGACACAATACACTCATGTGTGAGCAATTACACACACACACACACACACACACACACACACACACACACACACCCTGGATCTGCACATGTGATATGTACCCAGAACTTACTAAAGCAAAACTGATTTTGGCTTAGAGAGATTTGATTTTATGCTAAAGAAATTTCATCAGAATTTTCATATGAAGAGTCTATTCCTCCCCAACTGTGCCCTGCTCGGCTGCATGCTAATGTGCTCAAATCCAATCTCTGAGTTCTCTGCAGGCTCTGTGACTGGGTTCTCAGGACTCGGCTCCTGGCTGCTGGCTGAGCCTAGGGGAAGCAGTTGCTGTCCCAAGTGGCTTCCTGGGGCCTGGGCTTCTCTCCCTGGAGCCCAGAGCACAAAAGAACAAAATCAAAGGGTCAGTGTCAGGCAGGAGACTGTGGCCATTAAGAACGAGGGCCAGAGAGACCCACGGAGCCCTGGAAACTTGGTCGGTGGCACAAAGAACCCCTTGCAGCCCCCTACCAGTTTCCAGCAATTCACAGAAGCAATTCACCCAACTTGCACTGAGTACATACGGGGGTGTCGGGGTCTTGAGCAGGCCACCATCCTTCCCTGTCCCTAGGAGGTCCAGGGAGCAGGGCACTGGGACTTAACAAATACAAGACATCCAGTTAAATTTAAACTTCTGATAAACAATGAATACTTTTTAGTGTAAGGATGTCCCAGGTGAGCCCAGGTCTGTCCCGATAGAGAGGTGGGCACGGCTCGAGACTTGTTGGCACCACAGTGTGTAAATCTATCTCCCGGAGGGTTGATTCAAATGCACACCCTGATCTTGCACTTTCGCAGGCTGAACTGGAAAGCCTGTGTTCCTCTCTGCAACTGGAGGGATATCCGTTGCACTGGGTTCTCTTCCCTGGCATCTCAGCAAGCATTACTGTGATTAATGGGTGGGAAAGCAGCATTTATTTGGAATGGTGAACAGAGCTGAGACCTTCCCAGGATGGGAGACCCGGGTTATTGCAGTGATGGGCCTGGGGGTGGGGCTGGGGGCTGGTCTCACGGTTATTAAACAGTTGTCATGGGGAGGAGCTTAACTGTGCAAGAGCTAGGCATGCCTACTCTCTCTAGCTGAGCCAGTGAAAGTGAGTGGAACACGGGGGTCCCTGTCCCCAGAAGCCAGAGAAGCCTCTCACTACCTGCCTTGAGACCTCCGTCTTTTCCTGCTTGTTTTTTCTAGCTCCAGCCTGGGATGCCCTGTGCCTTCGACAGGGCTGTCTCCTCTTCCTACAATGTCCTGTTCTGCATCTAGACAAGGCAAAGTCCAATCTGCCCTTCAAAGTTTTGCTCCAAGACCTAGATCTACTTCAGCCAGTGTTATGGGCTGACTTGTGTCTCACCAAAACTCATAGGTTGAAGTCCTGATCCCCAATACCTCCAAATGTGACCATTTGGGGAGATAACATCTTTAGAGAGGTGTAAGTAAGTCAAAATGAGGTCATTAGGGATGGACCCTAATCCAACATGGCTGGTATCTTCATGAGAAGGCATTAGGACACAGAAACACCCACACAGAGATCCATGTGAGGACACAGGGAGAGACAGAGCCATCTACAAGCCATGGAGAGAGGCCTCAGAAGAAACCAACCTGGCTGCCACCTTCACCTTGAACTTCCAGACTCCAGAACTAAAAAGTCTTTGTGTTTAAGCTCCCCAGCCTGTGGTACTTTGTTCTGGAAGCCTGAGCAGAATACTACAGCCACAGTATCACCTAGGTCCTCCCTAGGGCATGGGGTGTCTCTCTCTTAGCCCTCCACCTCAAGTCCCATTTGTTTGCACAGACATCCTAGCCCCAAGACCCCAGTAATAAGACCTGACCTCCCCCCCTTTTCCTAGTGATACGGGCAAGCTAAAGGCAGCGTCCAGGAAATATTTGTCAAGCGAATGCGCCCAAGACAGCCTTTGGGCCAGCAGACCTTTCAGCCCTAGGTAAATGCTATGAATGGTGTTTGAAACATAACAGCAGGCCCAGCCTTGATATTTATGACCCTGCTTTTTGGCCTTCCTGGGGAGTGGTGCTCTCTGCTCTTCAATTTATGGCCCTTCAGTGCAGCCCCAGACTGACGAGGGGATTGCAAATGGGCTGTCTGCTAATAGCGCATGCAGACGATGCTGGAGGTGGGGTGATCCTTGGCCCTGGGGTCAGACACAGGCCCTTCTCACTCAGGGAGGGGTGCAGTGGACCTGAGAAGCACCTCGTCCTCCATCTTGACCTTTGCAAATACCTCAAAGTTTACAGACAGCTCACTGTTTCCTAACCATCCCTCACTCACTATCTGACAGAGCTGCGTACCCCCTGTACATCCTTAAGATTTATCTTTAAATTGACTCACTGCCCCTGGGGGCCAGGTGACCCAGGTCGTAAGACAACAAGTCCATTTTCTTGCCATCCCCAGGCCTGAGCAACACTGAATGGGGACACTCATCAGGGCCTCTGCAGAGCTTACAGGAATGTGGAAAGCATTGTGTTTCCTGGAGGGGAAAATCTCAGGGAGGGAGGTTGCTAAGGAGCTTTGCTACCCCAAATCCTGTGCACCCACCTGGACTTGATTGCACTGAGGAGGCAGGTGAATTGCCTTTCAAGGAGCTCTGAAAGACTGGATGGGGGTGTGGGTGGAGAGAAGGAATAGGGTGATGACTTCAGTGCCCGACAACAGGACAGAGAATGACCCATGCCTTGGAAGGCACTGGAATTCCTCGGAGGGGCTCAGCTAACTACCCCACCTGCCATCTTCTCAGATAGAGAGCAGAAGTCACACAGCAGCCTGAATTTTCCCAGGAGGAGCTCCAGCTCCAAATCAACATGTGGACTGGGGTCCTTGACCTTCATGTAAGGTCAGGCCCTAGGAAAAGCTCTGCTCTGGGGTGCAGAGAGAGGGCAGGCACAGCTCGGCAGGGTGCCTCTCACTCCCCCCCAGGCTGACTCCCTATGGCTGCCGGGGGGCTCCTGTTCCCGTCCTCTGGCTCAGCCATGTTAGCTGGGCCTCCTGAGCAGAGCCCCCCGCTCCCCATGAACCCTTGTCTGGCAGGCAAGCCTGCAGAGAACTCAGATTCTAGGGAGGGAGATGGGGGTTGAGGGGGTGGCCTGTGAAACACTCCGAGTGGGGGGCTGTGCTTCCCTGAGGCCTTCCTGCCTTTCTAGGTGTAGAATAAACACCTGAGTAGAAAAGGGTGGTGATTTTATACTCCCGAGCCCTCTTGCCTTTGGAAAATACTTGTTTTAATAAAATAAAGACAATCCATTGTTTCCCCTTAGTTTCCAGGAAGCGACCCAATTCTTTTTTTTTTTTTTAATGTAATAAGCCCTTTGAAAAGGTGAATCTTGTGAGTTCGTGGGCAGCTTGTGAGCGAGTCACCATTTCCAGATCGCTGCTCCCAGGCTCCCAGGTGCTCTTCTTTTTATAGAGTGTGTCCTTGGGTGAATCCAAGGCCAAAGTCTCACAGGCCATGGAGTGGCTCGGGGTGTGCTGCTCTGATGGCCAGTGGCCCGTTCCTCAGGGGAGAGTCCTCTGTGCCCTGGGCACTGCTTCAACCTGCAAAGGCCGGGTGCTGTTGCTGCCGCTCAGGGGACATGCTGCTCGCTCCGCCTGACCCCCACGGTCTCTTCCTTCCTACCCTTCTGCAGACCAGCAGAATATTCTCCCCTTCTCATCGCCGACCAGGAGTTTGGTCTGGTTTCTTGGGAAGAGAAGGAATAGACAGGAGTGTTAGAGTCAAGCCTGTGGGTCCCACTTCTCCCAGCCGGCACTCAGGAAGCTGAAACACGGGGGGTTCAGTCCAGGACCCCTGGGGCCTGCACCTGACCTCCACTTGAAGTGAGCATGGGGGCTGGGAGAAGTAGAGAATGTTTTGACCCAGAAGAGGGGGAACTTTTGAACTCTGAGGGTTGTGACCCTCCTCGTGAGTATGGGGGTTCTCCCCAAGATACACAGGCTCCAAACAGCAGGGTGAAGCCCTGACTTTTCTCTCCAGTATCTCCAGGGGTGCCTGTGGTCCTGTGAAGAGGCACTCAGACCTCCCCCCCGCCAAATGAATGGCAAGTTTTCCAGCAGAGTTAGGGCTCTGGACTCTCAGTCCCCTTTCGCCGTGTCCTACAGTAGCCCACTTCATTTCAGAAGCCTGGCTTCTAGAACACTGTGTGGTTCCCACTGCCAAAGACCCTGAACCACCAGCTCCAGGGCAGTGAGGGAGGAAGGGAAGCACCTCTCTAAGGTCCATGGCCTCCAGAGCCTACACTTGCTCATGTGTGGAATGGTAAGTGGAAAGTACCACTTACCTCCACTGGGTAATTACGAAGAATAAAATACCATCTCTCACGTGTAGTGTCTGACCCTTGGTATTCTACATTGGCTTAGAGCTCTCAAAAGGCATTTTTTGTGTAATGTAGGATAACCATCACACCAAATGTTATCATCGGTAGTGAGCCTCAGGAAAAAAGTGCCTCTACAGCATGAAGTTACAAAGCTATACCCTTTTACATTTCTTTATGAATTCGTGGGTATTTGAAAGAGACAGAGAGCAAGAACATGTGTGTGTTAAAAGTTTTCCTAGGGTCCTACATGGGCTCCTCATTTGCCTTTTGTGCGTGGTGAGCCCTCCCTGGTGCCTTACAGGAGTGAGATGACCTTCCAGGGCCAGGCCACCTGAGCCCGGAGCCGTGGGGACTTTCCAAGGGGGTGACCACAAAGCCCTCTGCTGGAGGCCTGAAGAAGCCAGGCCTTGGTTACCTGGACACGGCCAGAGCTGTCACCGCAGGGCTGGTCTTGCTGGGTTTCCCTGTCAAAGCAAGGCTGACATCCAGCTCTCGACACAGGGCAAGGTTCTTCTCCCACCCGTGACCTGTGGGGATCATGCAAGAGGATCGTTAGGAAACCCTAGTGGCTTCCCGCGTGTGCACATGGATGTCCATGGGCAGAGCCACAAACACAAACACACATATTTATATTTGCGGTCAGCAACTTGTTAAATTGAGGGGAAAATATATTTAATCTTGGCCTGTGCTGTTGCAAAAAGGGCCGTCCCAATTTAATTTGCAGGCTGTGATAGTTACATGTGCTGACGTGCTGCGGTATCCATTGTGTTCCAAATTGGATTTGTGTATTATTGCTTTCTAAATTGCATGCCTAGTTCAGCAAAATTGTTCATCAGTGTTTACTGGCTTTATGCTTAATAAGATGCCCCACAATACCTTGCTGCCAGGATGTAACGCAGCCCATAATTGCCTAGTAAAAATAAATTACATAAAGTCGGCATTATCAACTTATCTAAATCCTCTCACGCCACAACCAATAATTAAATGCTGAGAACGTTTTTTCAAAAAAATATAACTCAATGATTGTTACTTCACTCATTTTAATGACTGCATTTGGGGCAGACAGTAATTCCTTCAACATGGAGGGTGAGATGGAGAGATCTCAGCTGGGTACATCCCTGCGAAGTCACTCAGAGTCGGGGCAGGAGTGACACAGCTGTCCCAGCTGTCCCAGGGTGGCCCCCAGGGTGGCCTCTTGTGTGCTCGGACAGGCCTGTGCACCGGGGAATGCGTGCACATTTGGTGTTTGTGCAAAAGGCCAAAGTACAAGCCTTCCCTGAGCTCTTTCTGTGTTCCAGGTCAGGTCTAAGTGTACGGGGTAGTTCCCAAAATAAATTGTGCTCAACTGAGTTGGTCCTTGTTTCAATGACAAATAAATGAATTCCAGGCAGAAATTAGATTACATCTGTACATAAATGCGGCATCCTCAATATCTTCAAAAATCCCCTTTCTTGCCCCTTAAGACACCGGAGGGACGCAACAATAGGCACACCAACAGGACACAGGTGCAAATATCCACGTGTCATGCCCAATTCTGTCACTTTCCAGCAAAACAGTTTTGAGCAATATTAGGAGAACAGCGAGACCTCCACAGGCTTAGGTTTGTAAGCTTGCAAATGGATTTCCTGTTTCTACACCGTGGTCCAGCTTGATTTTCATGAATATGTCTGTGCCCTCGTGTCATTTCACCTGAATCCTCCCTTAAACTGTAATCACCACCCTGGCACTTAATTCTATTTGGCGGTGGTGACCTCAGGCAGGTCAGGACAAATGGCAGGGGAAGGATGTGGACCTGGGTCTGATGGGGCTGCTACCAGCCTGAAACTGTCTTGTGGGCTCCCTAATGTCATCAGCCAGTATATTAGGGGAGAAGGCTCTTCCAAGCCTACAAAAATGATAAGAACAATCTGCATTTTGTTGAGTAGATTCTTGTCTGTGTCTGTTATTTTTCATGTTAGGTACTTCCTGTACACATCAGGATGTACAGGAAATACCTCCATCTGACAGGGCAGGGGAACTGAGGGAGAGAAGTTGCTGGGCACAGAGCTAGATCTAGAGCCCTGTCTCTTGGTTTTCATGTCACTTCCCCTTTCTTTGGAACCCATTCCCAATGGGTACAATCTCAGCACAAATGTTGACCCTGAACAGAAACCCATGAATCCATCGGCACTTCCAGAACCAGTGGAATGTCTTTGAGGTGCCCTTCGTTCATCTGTCTTTCCATCCATCAAGATTCTTGTTCAGACATCCATTTATCAACCTTTTCCTCAAGGGACCTCCATAGCTTCAGAAATGGGCAGTGGAGCCCAGGACTGAACTGGTATGCTTTCAATGCAGATGTGCCACAGAATTGTTCATAATCAGGCTGGAGAATATGAATTCTGTGCTAGCTCTCTTCCAGCTGGGTGGCAATAGGGGAAGAAGTTTGGCCCCTGCTCTCCACAGAAGTGTTGCGAATTTCTTAGAATGCACAAGCCCCACACATCTTTCTTTTTATACTGAGATGGGCTGATTCCTTGTAGTCTCAAAAGACCCTCAAGGTACTAGGCACAATGGAGTGAATGTGGTTGTAGATCCTTCTGAGGTCACTGCTCTGGGTCTGCCCAGATTATTGATAAGCGTTCCCAGATGGCATTATTTTGTTTTTTTTTTTTTTTCGTTTTTTTTTTACAAATAGTTTATTGTCAAATTAGTTTCCACATAACACTCAGTGCTCATCCCCAAAGTGCCCTCCTCCATGCCCCTCCCCCCCCCCCCCCCACATCCATCAGTCCTCAGTTTTTGTCAGCATTCAAGAGTCTCTCATGGTTTGCCTCTCTCCCTTTCCCCCACCATTTCCCCCCTTCTTCTCCCCCTTGGTCCTCCGTCAAGTTCCTCCTAATCCTCCTATACGTGCAAACATATGATATTTGTCCTTCTCTGCCTGACTTATTTCGCTCAGCATAACACCCTCAAGGTCCATCCATGTTGCTACACATGGCCAGATTTCATTCTTTCTCATCCAGATGGCATTATTTTGAAGGAAGGGATTCTCAGTGTAGAGCCTGGGACCCAGAGAAGGCTGATCAGATGTCTGTGCACATTTGTGTAAAGAAAGATCAACGATTAAATGATTTAGGAGGGGGGTGTGGAGTATATTCTAGAAAGGAACTAACTGAAGATGGTTACTCTTTTAAGAAAGCAGCCCTTAGCTCTCTAAAAAATTATCACCCATGATTGATCATGGGTCTTGGGATTTGAGTAAACCAGAAGAACTCATGATGAAGGAGAATTCACACTTCACATGTTTCCTTTCAATCATGGGAGGCACCAAGAAAGAGGTCTCAGCTCTGGGCCAAAATCTTCCATGAAGATAGAGCTGAGAAAGAAGGTTGGTTGCATCGGAGGAGGTGATGGTTGGGGGCAACTGGGACAGCTGTGATGGAAGAGATGGAGGTGATGGCTTTGATGGTGACCTTTGCGCCTGTGATCAGGGGTGGTGCTACTGTTGCATGGCAGTATCTGTGGTAGAGGTTCGGGCAGTCTAAAGTTAGCCTGAGGTTGCCTGTGTCTGCTCTAGGGGCCGAAGTGAGAATGATGGTAACTATATGCTTCTGGGTAACTCTGGGAAAGTTCCTAAGCCTCTCTGTGCTTCAATTTCCTAATCCTTCATATGGGTGTCAGAGTAAGATCTATCTCACAGGGCTGTTGTGACAAATAAGAGAATACACGGCAAGTGTGCACGATGGAAACTGCTCACGGTCAGCCCTCTTCCTCCAACCTCTGCAGTGATGGCCATGGTGGTGGTCCCAGAGGCCATGGTGGCAGAATAGAGAACAGGTTTTCTTTCTTCAGTCCCATCTGCCACAACCCAAAGAGGGCTCCAGAACAGTCGTTCTTTTACTTTGGTACACACTACACTCACCTGGGAACCTGTCAGACATGAAGATTCTAACAACCCCCAATCTCTTGGTGCGGTTTAAGGTAAACACAAGACCCACATCAACATTTTTAATAAGGCTCCTGGGCAATGCTGATGCAGAGGACCTCCAGACCCCCTCTGAGGAATGTGCCATGGGGAGCCGGGTGGATTGAGCCCGGTCCAACAGGTCAGGCTGGGGCACTATGGAACCACTTCCTCTCTCCACGCATACGGCAAGGCCCCTGGCTGGCCCCTCCTTGCCCCCATCTGCAGCCTGGCTGTCCAGGCAAGTAGGCATTTGGACCCATGCCCTGGGCTGGGAAGTTTGGCATTGGAGAGCCATCTGGGCAGATGGAGAACATCAAATGAAGCTCTGTAAGGTTCTGAAGTTTAGAAGCCCCTGAAAACTACCACCACCACCGTCCATGTGTCTGAGGAGCATCCCAGAGCTCACTGGTCCCTGAGTGATGGGGCCAGGACGCGACAGACTTCTCCATGCTGCCTCACGTTCTGCCTTGCAGCTTGCAGAAAACTGTGCTCTGTCCCCCCAACTGGCAACATCCAAAGAGACTCAGTGGCTTCCCTGGACTCCATAGGTCTGAATGGAGCTACAGGAGGGGAGAGAGGAGCAAAGACAGCAAGGCAAGGGCCCCACACCCTCAATAGGGCAGGTACCTCTTGGGCTTGGAGGTTGAGCTGAGGGATCTTCTGGTGCTACCAGTCCGGGAACAGATGTCTTCATGTCTTCAGTCTTCCAAATCTGTCCAGGAAAGAGAAAAGGCTGATGGCTGGGGAAACGATCCTGTCTGTGGCCTCAGGCCATTCCCATTCCCTCACATCCAAAGTGCCCTGAGGGAAGGGATGGGAATAAGGTCCCCCTTCACTTCCAATGCTAATGTATTCTTGGAGACAAAAAAATTACTTAGGCTTCAGTAGAGCACAGTTGAAGCTTATGTGAGTTCACTCTGCACTCCTGAGACCATAGTGCCCCTGTCTTCAACCTCTCATCTGCAGGGATGAGATTCAGCAGCTAGTTTATTGTCATTTTACTTAGCTAATGCCCTCTCAGCCCCTGCCACCATCCCTGGAGGCCTCCCTCACCACTTAGCAGCTAGGCCTCCCTATCCTCTGTGTCTGGCTCATGGTCCCAAGCCCTTCTGTTAATGTCCTCATGCTGACTGCATATGGCTTCTCACATGCTGAGTCCAGACATCCTGTTGACAAAAGGTAAGGATAAGCCTCCCCTTAATGCTTTTTTTGAGCTCCACCCTGGGCCTAACCCAGTGCTGGGCCATTCCAGGAGCTCAGTTATCATGCTGGATGAATGAGTGCATGAAAGACTCTCACTCATGACTTGGGGGCCCACAAAGGAAATGCATCCACTGCTCTACCAGCCTGGGCTCCTCTGAATGACCCATAGTGTGAGTCACCCCAGGCGTCCCTGACCTACTTATGTTCTGGCTAGCACAGGATGCCCTGCTCTCTGCAGAGCACATGTATCCCTCCTGGCCCACATAGGGGGCTTCTCAAGGGACCCCCCTCAACCTTGTCTCTCCTATCCACACACACCAACCCCTCAGCCTGCTTGGCCTCTCCGTATGCTGTGACTTTTCCTCATCCTTGGGACTCAGCTGTACTGCCACCTCCTCTTATGTCTCTCTGTTAGAAATAAATCCATATTCCCTTTGGACCCTCACCACATATGTATTGGCAAATATGTCCATGATTATTCTGAGACTTGGGGCATGGACATCCATGCAAAACAAGGCCAAGTTTTAGCCACGATGGCACTCAACAAGCTTTCATAAATGTTTGAAGAATTCAATGGACATTTGCTTGAATACGTTATGGCATTCAGCTGACATTCCCTTAAACTGTGGAATTCAGTTGACAGTTTCTTAAGTGGGCCTCTAAATTATTCCTTATCTTTACTCATTCCTTCATCCTTCCTGTCAGTCTCAGAAAGATTACCTTGTTCTTCCCATGCTAATCCTCACACTTCAGTGCTTCTGTTCCCTTCTCTTCCTGGTTTCTTGATGCTTTCCCTCTCCATGGCCTTTCTCAGAGGATCCATAACACTCTTTGATTATCCTGGTCATAGCATGCATTGCATGCATATATTTTCTGTCTGTATTCTCATCTAGGATAGGATCATCTTGATGATAAAGGCCTATTATCACTAATTTCTGTGTTCCCTGTGGCTTGTGTGATCAGTTTGGTACAGAGCCAGAGTTAGGATGGACAGATGAGAAAATATTTGAGTGGATAGATGGATTCATGGATAAATTGATAGGTATATGGAAGGATAGATCATTGTATAAAAGGAAAGGAACAAAAGAAGAAAGGAAGGAGAAAGGGAGGAAGAGAGCAAGGGAGGGGGAAGGAAGGAAGGAATGGTAGAGAGATAAATAGTTGGGTAGGAAGGTAGATGTATTATTGGATGGATGGATGGATGAATAGATGGGTGAATAGATAAGTACATGGAAGGATAGATGGATGAAAGGATGAATGTATGGATGAATAGGTATAGAGATAAATAGTTGGATGGATTAGTGGGTGGACAGATGGGTGGATAGATGGATGGGCAAGTGTGTGAATGGATGGTCCAAATATTCATTTCAGCACTGGGTTATGCTGTTACACATTTGACCATTCATTTTTGACACTTGTAATGATAAATGTCTATTTCATTACATGAGTATATGTGTGTATACAATTATATATATATAATTTTATCTATCTATCTATCTATCTATCTATCTATCTATCTATCTATCTACCTTTTGCCTGGAGAGAGCCTTGCCTTTGCCCTCACTTGCTATGAAGACCTGGTCTGGCATGCCACTTAGTCTCAAATGCAGCCTATAGATTTGGACTCTTGGAGGAAGTGAGAACAAAGAACACCTTCTTGTACTCTGCCTTCACTGTGCCCAAGACACACTTACCCGAACCATGCCGTCTTGACTCCCAGTGATGATGACATGGTTTGTGTCCCATGCTGGCCCTTCCATCATGCAGCAGCAGGTTATGGCTCCTTCAGGGCCCCAGGCCGTGGTGATGCTGGCCAGTGGCTGTCCATTGACATTCCACAGAGACAAGTGGGCTCCCGCACAGGAGACAATAGTGCCCTGCAGCAGTGAAAGCTGGCTTCACCCCATGCTGAGGTTGCTGCCTGCCCATCTGCCATTTGTTCAGCCAGAGTTGGTACACCCAAGCACCCTTAACCTGCTATCTTCTGAAGACTAACCAAGGTACTCCAAGACCTAAGACACCTCCTTCTTGCTAGATGGCTCATAGGTCTTCTGTGTTTGCACACAGCTACAAATTCCTGGCTATTTGCATACTGCAATCACGTGTTTGGATGTTGCTTTCCCTGACAAACTGACTGACTCCCACTTTGGGTTCCTCCCACAGCCTGGAGACCACCCCTGGATCTGGACATGGGGCCTATACTTGGTGGGCCAACCCTGTCCCCATGAAGAAGATTTGGATATCACCTGGTAGAGGGCAGAGTACAGAGGTTTGAATGATTGCATATGGCTCAGAAAATTGGATGATGTCTCTCTGAAGGGAATTTCTGAGGAGAAATGTCTCTATTGAATCTCCTGAAATGTTTATGTCTAGAGTTTTCTTCTCCAGTCATTGTCAATTTTATGGCCAATGGTATAATGATCACTGTCATTGAAGACTCATAAAACCAGCTGGAGCGATGCCTTTGAGCCTTGTCCTAACCCCAGAAAGGATGTAGGGAACTCAGTGCCCCTCCATAGCCCTATGGGCTCCATCATATCCCTTCCTGAATTGTTTGGTAGAGTCTGCTTGAGGTCAAGGACCATTTCTGATACATCTCTGCCAAGCACCCAACACTGAGCACAGAAGGCACTTAGTAAATTCAATTGACTCCAGGACCAGTTGAATTCAACAAGTTATTGGTCATGGTATGTCTCCTCTGAGGTCTGAGGACATTATTCTTTATAATGTTATCTCAGATCAGGGCCTGGTTCCTTTCCCAAAACATTCACCAATTTATTCATTCATTCACCATCCATCCATCCATCCATCCATCCACCCATCCACTCTCCATCTGCCCATTGACCTATCTGCCCACTAATTTACCCAAATATCCATCCACCCACATACCTATTCATGCATCCATGCATCCATCTTCTATCTGTCCGTGTAAGATTCATCCTAGATTCAAGCCTACCTGGAACATCATGTTTGGCTAAAGTTGGGACCAGGAGTCTTCTTCACGATCTCCCCCTCCTTCTATTATCCCCTTGTCTGCCCACTCTATCCATGCTCTGGACTCCTGGGGTTTTCTGAAGAAGATGCAGAGCCTTTGAATCCTCAGGGAACCCCCAGCTCTATGATGAGGATTCCAGCCTGGGAGAAACTTCACACTGAGATTTAGATATATATTTCTCTAACTCTTTCTGTTCTCTGTCTCTGTCTCTGTCTGTTTCTGTTACACATACACACACACACACACACACACACACACACACACACATCTGACAGGCTTATCTTTAGTAGCAGCTTGGAGGGACAAGCAGAAGCACTTCCTGCCATGGTGACCAGAAGCACCTGATGAGTTAACACTGACGTGCAGTCAATGAACTGAATTAGTCCATTAAGCCCAGAAGATCTCTTACCAAACCAACTTCCTGCCCCAATTCCCTCATGCCTGTGCCAGAACAGACACCTCCCACCACTCTCACCACCCTGAGGGAGAAAAAGAAAAAAAAAAAAAAAAGTCTAGACCCAGATGCTACACATGTTGATGGCTCCACTCTGCCTGAGCAAAGAATACTCCATACATTTGGGACAATGTTTCTCAACATTCTTGGGAGCTCAGCCTCTCTTTGCTCTTGGGTTTTCTCTTGGGACACCGCACCATGCCACCAGACAGGCTCATAGACATTGAGAAAGCGGGGGCTCACCGAGACGTCACTGATGGCAAGAGCAGAGATACCCTCCCGGTGGGCAGGCAGGCGGGCCACATGAGTGAGGTGGTCTAGGTCCCACAGGATGCAAGTACAGTCTTGGGAGCCACTCACCAGGAGGCTGAAGGTGACTGATGCTGCCAGGCATGTGACAGCCTGTGTGTGTCCATACAAGGCCTGGGGACAAGAAGCAGACCCGCAGATTATGGGAGGGACCCTCAATCTAGGTACCTGGGGAGATATCTTGCCCTCCTATTCACTGCTAGGCTCCTGGTGAGGAAACAGAGATTGAGGGCGATTCCATGATTCCAAAGTTAGTGGTGTGTGTGTGTGTGTGTGTGTGTGCGCGCACGCACGCATGTGTTTGCGTGTGTGTGTGTATGTACATGAGTCTATGCCAGCCTCTCAGTTCCATCCATTTCTGGGAGTTGAGTCTCAGCTAGGCTGGATTTTAATCTTTTAATTAATTAAGTTATTTAATTTAATTAAATTAATTAAGTCTTTTAATCTTAACTGCCACAGACCAGTAGCGCCCTCATGCTGCGTGCTCACCTACACTTGCCTTGTGTGTTGAGGCAGCATGTACAACTAGTCACAAGCAAGGACACTGACTTCCAAAGTGTGGTGTCCCGACCAGGTGCATAAGCATCAGCTAGGAATTTATTAGAAAAGCAAATTCTTGGGCCCTATCCAAGATGTACTGAGGCAGAAACCCTGGGGGTGGGGCCATGGTGAAAACTATGGGTCTTCACAAGGTCTCCGGGAAAATTTCATGCACAAGTTTGAGCATTACCCCAAGGGAACCTCAGAAACAAACATGCCTCTGCCAACTAAAATGGAAGGGAGGCAGGGGAGGGGGGCTGTCAGGTCATAGTTAAAAAAAGATGCAACTTTTCAAGTCTGATGGATCTAGGTTCATAGTCTGTCTGGCCACGTGGCAGCAGGTGACTCAGGGCCTTGGTCTCGGCCCTCAGGTTGGCCTGTGCTGGGTCTGACCTGGTTCACAGATGGCTATGTGTCCAGATATGGCCAGAGGCCTTGCTCCCCAGGGACACGTGCCACAGGGCCTGAGGTGGCCTGGTGTTCCCAGGTCCACTGCCACTGGCAACAGTGTGGTTTCCATCACAATGGTTCCAGAAGCTGCCTGACCTGAAAGCTGCCGCATCCACACGTGCGGCCGCCACCTGGAATGAGCTGGAGAAGCACAGAGGTGGTGCTCTGAAGTGCGATTACCCTGGCTTACCTAGTGGGAAACCTCCATCCTCAGGACGGACGACTGCTCACTCATTTGGGCCAATGAGGCCGAGCATCATTTTTCAAAGCTGTCACTTTGCCTGGTCACAGCCAGGAAAAGTTCTGCCAGGATTTCTGTTTGTTTTCAATAGATCCTAATGTGGCACCGAGCAGATGGTGCTGGCAAGGTTCTGGACGTGACCCACAGGAGATGATTAGGGTCATCTCAGGAAACCGGAAGCTGTCTACATGAAGAGAGAAGTAGAGGATCTGACAGGAGCTCTGCTGACTGAGTTCTGACCGCACGGGGACATGGTGACTCCAAAGAGTGCAAGCTGGGGGACCCTGGGGTAAAGGCTGGGGATTCAGAGAGAGAAGCTCTGAGCCCATGTGCCCCCATGTGCTGCTCATTAGTGGAGCTAAGTCTGCTGCTTTCCGACGGGAGGCACTGGAGAGTTAGGGGACCAGCCCGTGTGCAGGCTGCCCACACACGTAAGGCTCATTGCCTCCCACCACGACACACAGCCATCCTCATCTGGAGGGGCCGGGGAAATCAGCGAAGGAGGACAGCAGATGTCAGTGTGTTGTCTACTGGCTCTTTTGTTTTCTCAGAATACAGTGGTCCCTCTAACCCACGGGGGACACGTTCCAAGACTCTCAGTAGGTGGGTGCTTGAAAGTGTGGGTAGTACTGAACCCTGCGTGTCCTGTGTTTTTTTCCTGTACGTACATATGTATGAAAAAATTTAATTTATAAATTAGGCACAGTAACAGATTAAAGGCAATAACTAACTATAAAATATAACAGTTATAACAGTATACTGTAATAAAAGTTATGTGAGTGTGGCATCTCTCTCTCAAGATGTCTTATCGGACTCTACTTGCCCTTCCTGTAATGACATGGGGTGAATGCCATAGGCACTGTGACGTGGCATTAGGCTACTACTGACCTTCTGATAATGAGTCAGAAGGAGGGCTGTCTGGTTTCAGGCCATGATTGGCCACAGGTGAGTGAGAACACAGAAAGTGAAGCTGGGAATAAGGGAGTGCCATCACAGTACCTCTCTACGTGGCCAATTAAAATAACTTCGCTATGTCATCATGCCTAAATAAAGTAGCAAAAGATAAAGAAAATAAAATAATAAAATAAAGTAGAATAAAACAAAACAAAACAAAAACCTCTGGAAATAATTGCTCAGGTTGGACACTTGTGGTGAGATGGGTACTCTTCATTAATTGTGGTGGCACCGTAAGGCTATGGAGCCACTATCGAAAGCACTATGTCCCTGTTTGGTAATTCTACTTCTTGAAATTTATTTTAAGGGAGCAATTAATCAGAAGCAAACAGCAATCTATATAAGTTGTTTCCTGCAGCACTATTTAAAATAGTTAAAATTTGGAAGTAATGTAATTGTCTAGTTTGAGGAGAAGTGGTTTATTAAACTGTGGTGCACTGACATAACAAAACAATTGAAATGTAATTTTATGGAAATGGAATAATATGGAACAATTGAAATGTAAATTACAGAGACTGTGGAAAAACAGAAACAATTTGATAGGCTGGGTGAAAATAGAATAAACATATCTACACAATGATCAGAATGATATAAATATGTATATCTGGGGATGGCAATATACAACAACAGAAACTTTTACAGAAATTACAGAGAATTATTCAACTTTGAAGTGAATTTGAAAGTTGTCTTTAATGTTGTAATATCTTTAAAAATTGAAACACTTAAAAAAACTAATGTATGACACTATTTAATGATGTCTTTGCCAACAAGTCAAGGACAACCCCCCCCCCCCCCCGCAGTGAGCAGCTGGTGGTCTGGGGGACGCCCAAGGCCGTGCCAGCCACTATAGGTAAATTTTGCTCAGGAAATAAGTGCGTGTGGGATTCCCCATACCTTTTCCCCTTGATTTATAACTAGGAGAGGATGATGAATTACATTTTTAAGCTGTCAATACAGCAGCTTTTCTACAGCACATCTTCACTGCTAAAAGGGACCTGAGAGCCGTAGTGGGAGTCGCCTCCCCGACTCCCCAAGGCCAGCCTGCAGTCAGGCTGGATCTAGGGCGTCCCTAGAGTGGCGCCTGGGGCTGGGGAGCACTCCGCAGAGTAATGCCCGGTCTCTTCACACGGGTCAGGAGTAAGAGCCCAGCCCCCTGGCCGCAGTCCGTGGAGAGGAGAAGGAAACCCAGAAAGTCCTGAGAAGGGGAAAAGGCAGGGTGCTCCGAGGCTGGCTTTGAGAGTCTGGTGAAGGCAGCCTGCACTTGGCCGGCATAGCTCCCACAGCAGGTGCCACTGCCCCACAGGATTAATCGGTCCCCTCAGCACCGACCCATTCCTTCCATTCCTTCCTTCACCTCGCGTCTACTGAGTCCCTACTGTGCACCACGCATGTGCTGCAGGGGGTGGGGAGTGGGGATGGGGGGAGGGCTTGAAAAGCATCCAGAGAAACCGAGGAGCAGTTTCAGTGAAACATGTTCAGTTTAGGAAATCGGATCCATGATGAGTTTTGTATGATTAATTTTGATTCTGTCATCTTGGGCCTATATGGCTAACTACAAATACAGACCTAACAATAGTTGCATTTTAGAGGTGGAAGTGTACCCTAGTGGTATTCTGGGCGGGTTCAAGGGTGCACAGGCAGGAAGCATGGGTTTAGACTTAGATGGACCCAGATTAAAATGCAAACTTGCTCTCTCTGAGCTTCAGTTTCCTTGTGTGAAAGTGGGGAGAACAGTGCCGGATTTGCCAGATTAAAACGAACGTACGGAGTCTTAATCAAACAGTGAGTACGCTCTGCTCGTTAGGAGAGCAGCGGTGATTCCTGAGGCAGGACCGGACTGAGCCCCCTGTCCCCGCCTGCTTTTGCTTTCCTCCTGCACAGCCACTGCTGTTCCGAAATAGCCTTTCAATTTCTGGCTCCACAACGAGTCACTTAACTTCCTCACAGCTGGTTTTCTCACCGGTAAAGCAAGGATAATAACAGAACCTAGTTTCCAGTGTTGTCGAGAAGGTAAAATGAGGCTATATGCATAAAAGTCACATGGCACATGCTCCGAAATGGTCTCTAGTGCGAAGAAACTGGTTTCACTGGCTCTGATGGGTAGGTGGCATCTCTCACTGAGGCATGTGTCCTGTGGAGGCATCTGCCCCGTGGGCTTGTCAAAACCACCGTGGGCATGAAACTGTGGCCTTCTAATGGCAAAGAGCCACGTGCTGCCACCAGTGCCTCGCTGTGTTCTCTGCTCCTGAGGGGGGCAGGGCGTTTGGTGCTTGGGGAATTGGACGACACTAGGGCACCACATCTGCCCCAGGCACCATCCCCACCTGAGGTGCCATCCCCACCTGAGCACCATCCTCACCTGAGGTGCCATCCCCACCTGAGCACCATCCCCACCTGAGGCGCCATCCCCACCTGAGGCGTCATCCCCACCTGAGGTGCCATCCCCACCTAAGCACCATCCTCACCTGAGGCACCATCCCCACCTGAGATACTGTACCTGCTTGAGATGCAGACCTCTCGGGCGGCCTTTGGCTATGCTGAGCTCCCACACACATACCACCGCACTCGTGCCAGAGGTGATGATTGTTGTGGGGGCTGGGCACACAGTACACAGGCAGCGGCCCCAGGCAGCCAGGTTCTCGAACGTCATTAGGATCTATGGGAGACAAGTGGGATGAGCAGTGGTGCCCCGGCCAGCACAGGGCTGGGAGCCAGGACAGGGTGATAGAGGGACAAGGGCAAGTCTGGATGCTGCTGGCCTGCTCATGTGCCATGGGAACTGGGGGACATGTCACTTGTTCAGGAGGCTGGCGCTGGTGACATAATCCAGGTGGTCCAAGCCTGTCCCGTATGAGCTCATGCTCTAGTGAGTGGGGAGACACAAGTGAGGGGAAGTTATGGGGACATGGTGAAAATCTGTCTGCCTCATGAAAGAGTAGGGAAGGCTGAGGGCGATGAGAGAGAGCTTGGTGGCCAGGGAGTTCATGCCATGTGATTGGTGGGTGGGATGTAGGGTGGGAGGGAAGTCAGGCTAGGAAAGGAGGCTGAAGGTGGCCAGGGCCACAGCAAGATGTGACGTGACTCTGTGGCCTGAGTCAAGGGTAGAGGAAAAGTAACCAGATGGCTTGCTTTTGGCACTGGCTCAATGCTCAGTGAGTGTCCTTGGAGTCTGAACCGTGAGTGTTCAGAGGAACCCAAAGACTTCCCACCCAGACTGAGAGTCTGAGTGGCCTCCATGCAGCCACATGACCAGCTGGTGGCAGACTGCTGTGAAATAACAGTGTGCACTGTAAACTTGCGAGCTCCACTCCTTAGAATATGGGTTGGAGGTTTGGCCCACAAGGGCCCTTAGCCTGGCTGCACGAGCCCCCTCCCTCCCAGGCAGGGGGCACGGCTATAGGGAGGAAGTGGGGCAGCTGTGCCTGCTTTGGGCTTGCCCATCTGACTGCCTCTGCCTCAGCGGTGCCCGCCCTGCACCCTGCCTGCCCGCACCCCACACGCACTCGCCTTGTCAGAGCCATAGTTCCCCAAGCAGCAGCTGAAGTCATCGAAGCCCCAGCTGAAGGTCCTGTTCCAGAGCGGAGGCAGGAGCATCTTGTTCTTCTCCACGGCCAGGATGGTCTTCTCAGTAGGGACGATGTGGCCAATGGCTCCTTTGGGGGATTCGGAGCCTAGAGAGAAAAGGTACATATCTACCCCCCAGTTAGTATGGTGGAATTTACATGCCAAAGGGCAACACCCCCCTTTCTCTGTGCTCAGAGAGGAGCCCTGGGCAGGTGACCCAGACTTGGCAAAGCACAAGCCTAGACATCAGGCACTTGCTCGTCAAGGCACCTCACTCCGGAGCCTTACTCCGCAGGCCGTGTTAGACCTTAGCCCCAAGCTGGGTGCCCTGGCCCTGGCTTTGGCATATACATTAAGCTTGCACATGGCCACAGGTCTTCAGTGTCTCTGACGGGCTGATGTCAGGGGAGGAGTGGCTGAGGCTGTCTGTGCAGATGGCACCAAGCCACTTCCTGCCCCTCCCAGACACCTTACCTGATAGGGCTGGGTATGCCAAAGACACTGTTCTTGGATTTGAAGGGGGAAAAAAGGACATACCAAGCCCCCCACCCCACCAAACCTGATGTTATACTCCTTATACAATTCCAGAACATTGCCCTTTGTAGTGGGGTTTCCCCAAAGCAGTACATGCCCCGGGTGGCCCGGACATCAGACTGCACACACAGTTTCCCTAAGGAAGCAGCAGGGCTGGAACTCACACTGGGCTGTGTTCCCCAGGACAGTGGCTCCTGGCTAGCGGCTGCAGGCCCACCTGGGGGCTCAGGAGCAACAGTGACTGTGGGTACCAAGGAGCAGAGGCTGCAACCCTCCCTCCCCTCGGGAAATCTGGCTTTGGAGGTGAGGAGGGGTGTGTGTGTGCGTGGGCATGTATGTGTGTGCACAGGAAAGAGAGAGAAAGTTAAAGAAAGAGACAGAGAGGTGTGCGCGCACACACATATATGAAAGAAAGAGAGGAATGTGTGTCTTAGATAGACGGGCAGACAGGTGAGTCTGTCAGGATCTAACAGAGGTGGTTCCGGACAGTTCCAGAACACAGACCTCCCTAGATTCCTGCTGTGACTAGAGACACAGCCATCCAAAGTCAGACCCCAAGACACTGAAGGGTCTGTGCCCCCGAGTCGCCAAAGGAACACCAGTCACTAAAGGGACATCTGTGGGACAGGGTGCTGAACAGAGCTGACCAGGTGGTTACCTTTGACTGTGACCTGGGAGGGCCTCAGTGACTGCAGATTGTAGAAAAAAGGCTGTGGGTGGCTGGGGAGGCTCGCAGGTATGACGGCGTCCTTTCCAGGTAAAGGCTTCCCTGCAGAGGTCCTGGCTGGGTGCGGTTTTGTAAAGAGCTGGAGAGGCAGGGGGACAGATGCACACCACAAAAGTCATTAGGGACAGATGGCTGAAGGAGGAGTCCTCCCCAGTCAAGTCACAGCCGCACCTCTGTTCTGAGTGCTGTCTGAGAAGGGCTGGCTTCTGACTGACATAAACATAAACAGAACTAGCTGGTTCAACCCTGAGATGTTGCAGTTCAAATGAAGGGCTTTGGCTCAGGGAGGGACTGCTGCTTTCTCCAGGTCATGGTGCGGGACTAGCAGAAATAGCTTTCCTGGCTGCCCAATTGTCATCTTCTCCACACTGCTTGGGAAAAGGATGACCTCACCGAGGAGCCTCTGATCCCTGGCAGAGCTGCCTCTCAAATCATGGGGTCAGAGTGACCCTCTTCTCTCTCTCTAGATCACATGTCTCTCTTCATTTGCTTGAGCTATTTCTCATATTTTCCCCCTTCCCTTACAAACTCTGCAGGCACATCTATCTGGGCATCAAGACAGAATCCTTTAATAGCATCCATTCAAACATTCCAAAGAGCACAGGCAAACCCCATTAGTGGCCTTTCTTATTTTCACTTTTCTTAGATCTCTGCTGTCAAAGTGTCCCCAATGCCAAACTTTTTGCACAACCAGGCAAAATATGAAGCCCAAGGCCATGGTGCTTGGCAGAATCTCGCTGCTGCCACAGAGGGCGGCTGAGGTCAACTGCAGCCTTTCGCCCTCCCCTTCCCAACGAGGCTGTTTTTTCCAGCCATCAGGCCCGTTTTTCTGCTCCCTGATGGAAACATCCACTGGGTACCATGATGGAGGTGGGACAGTGGGCCTCAGGTGGGCACACGAGCAGGGGTGAGGTTCAGCAAACAGCTGGGGAGGGGTCTTACAGCAGCCTAGGCTCAGTTACAACCTTCAGTCAAATACTGGACTACCTGGTAAAGCTGGGTGGGTGATCAATACCAACGGACATCAGAACAATGATTTCTAAATGCGCATTAAATAAAGAATGTCCTTTCTTGAGCCTAAGTGTCCATCAACAGATGAATGGATCAAGAAGATGTGGTTTATCTATACCATGGAATACTACATGGCAATGAGAAACAATGAAATCTGGCCATGTGTAGCAACATGGATGGACCTTGAGGGTGTTATGCTGAGCGAAATAAGTCAGGCAGAGAAGGACAAATATCATATGTTTGCACGTATAGGAGGATTAGGAGGAACTTGACGGAGGAACAAGGGGGAGAAGAAGGGTGGAAATGGTGGGGGAAAGGGAGAGAGGCAAACCATGAGAGACTCTTGAATGCTGACAAAAACTGAGGACTGATGGATGTGGGGGGGAGGGGAGGATGGGCATGGAGGAGGGCACTTTGGGGATGAGCACTGAGTGTTATGTAGAAACTAATTTGACAATAAACTATTTGTAAAAAAAAAAAAAAAAAAAAAAAAGAATGTCCTTTCTTGCACAGCAGAATGACTAAAGCATTGCAGGCCCAGTGCCTGTAACAACTTCAGCAGGCACAGGGCCTCCATGGCACAGTGCATAGTCCTCAAGTCTTTTGATCTTGTCTTTAGGTTGAGAATGAGAATTTTCATTCTGATGATTACTTAGAAATATCTTTTTAAAAACCTCATATGATACATCACTAAGTAAAATCAGAATCTAAGCTTGTGTGTACTCCGTGATCGCACTGATGGGAAAATATATTTGCTTAGGGACAAAAACTGTGAGAATATAACCCAGGACACAATTGGATGGTGGTAGCTACTACTTCGAATTATGTAATTGCTTTATCTGTATTATTGGGCTACCTAAGCTTCTTTCTTGAAATTTCCCCCTTCCTACAAAGCCTTCCCCGGATGAACCCACATTTGGATGTGCTGTTCATTCTCCAAGTCACCCTTAGCACTTCTCATATCCCCCTCACCTGGGAGCTGAGCAAACTTGGAGCATGTCACGGAAGACCAGCTAGAAAAGATGTTACTAGTTTTGCACCATTGAGATGAGACCGTGCAAGCCTCATGATTACATATGGGGAAGGCTGTTGCCCAAGATGGCCCTGGAATTGGCTAGGCTTATGCACTCACTTCACTGATTTTCCAGGCTGAGACCCCAGCCCATGGGGTCATGCTAATAGCCCAGATGGCTGTACTTAGGAATAAAACTTCTCCGCACTGAACTGAAGTTTGAGGGTCAACAGGGCCAGGATCAGTTAAATAAGTGCTTCTCTTGCACACCATTCACCAGGATGTCACCATGAACATGAATAGCCTCACATTGCTACATGATATCCCAATGGGGCATGGAGCCAGTGGAGCAAAAGGACCATGTAAGACCCCTGCAATTTCACCAGAGGCCCAGAATTTAGATCTCTGTCTCACTGCTGGAAATATGGTTTTGGGGTCAGCCAGATGGTGCTAGAACTTTTCCTCTAGACTATAGCTTCTATAATAGCCTCTAGGCTATTTATTTAGCCTCACGGAGTCTCAGCTTCCTGATCTGTAAAAGAATAACTCCTATACCCAGAGCTTATGAGGGGATTCAATGAAGGAATCACTAATGTGATTTGTTGTCTAATGTCTAACCCTTGTTGAGTGCCCATTATATTTCAGGTATTTTCGAGCACTTGATGTCTTAACTCATTGGCTCTTCACAACAACTCTGTAGCTAGACACATATAGAAAACTAAATCCTGTGGATTTATTGTAGTGTCTGTTACACATATCACAGGTGAATGGAGTCCTCACTGTATCATTAAGGACGTCATCACCTTCATCAACACCAGCTGGTGATAGAGGGCTAAGCCCCAATATTGAGGAGTGTAGGAAGACCATTTCCCCTCTCCAGCCCTCTCTCTTGTTCCTATCCAGGAGAAAATGTCCTCACTCACACTCCCAAGCTCACAGTGCATACGCTCTTTTAAGAAAGCAAGATTAAGTACATGGATACTGTACCTGTTTGGGTACCTGCCCAAAGTTGCTGACAAACCCCAGGATGGTGCTCCTGATCAAGGGGTCACTGGTGCTGCTGAGGTCCATTCTGTCACCATAGAAGTAGGGGTGGAAGGTATTAACAGCTTCTACCGCAGCTGACCCCTGCTGCTTGTACCCAAAAATGAGGTCTATCCAGTGGTGGAGGTTGGCACTGACAAAGTCACTTTCCAGAGCCTGGAACCAAAAGCCAAAGAACATGAAGAATACAGGTCTCTCTCGGACTTGTGAGCCCTCTGCACAGATCAGGAGGGCACGTATGCATCAGATGCTGGCTCTGCACAGGAAACATGTGATATCTCCCAGTGTTTGAATAGCACTAAGTGGGCAGACACACAGGCCACCCAAGGACCCCCCCAATTCCTGGCTCCAGCTAGCAGGGAAACAGATATGACTGTTCCAATCATCTAGCTCATTCACTCCATGATCTAACCATGAGGTGCAGAATACCTATGCCTTGCATTGATATCTAAATGGAAGAGACCAGACTCAAAATAAGTCTTGGGGTCCTATTGATCTCAATATAAGAAAAAGGGAGAGATGATTCTGACCAGAGATGTCAGGATGTCGAGACTGAGTGTAGCAGGTAGGCAAGCATGCTCCAGGGCACGTGGGCCCCCAGTACTGTCACGGATGTTCCTTCACATCTCTGTTCCTCAGTTTCTTCACCTTCTTCATCTATAGAATGGGGACAAGAATTGTACCTCCTCTGTGGAATTCTGTGAGGTTTGGTTCATGTCTGTGGCTGGTGTCTGGAGAGCTCCATGTAATGTTGGCCACAGTGATGACACTGAGCACCTGCAAGGTGCCAGGCACTGGCTTGGGGTTTGGTGTGTATGGTCTCTTTCCACCTTTCATTGGTAGATATCATTACCCCACTTCGGGGCAAGCTCAGGCGTGGTTTTAGAACCTACTGTCTCCATCCCCAGCTCCCAGGCCTTAGCACCCCACTGGGGATATCCAACATCACTGAGCACATCTCACTGCACCCAAGTACCTAGAAATTATTGATGTATTAGGTGTGAGTCCCTTTATCAATCATCTTTGGAAAGAAAAGGGTTGAATCTACCTTTGAGGTATAGCTCAGTCCCCAGGAATGTGAGCTTCCCTGACTGGGGCACTTCTGTCCAGTCCAAAGTATGCAATGGGCCAGAGCATTTCATCCACACACCCAAAGGGTAAGTCTATGATGACCTGAGGAACATTCTGTTCATGTGCAGCCTTGCCGTCTCCAAGGAAGGAGAACAGAAGAGTTTCTAGACTCAGCCATGAAGACTCACTCTGAGCTTAAATCCTCTAAATGGGACCAAAACCTCAGCCCACTCAGGAACACAGCTCCCGTTGAAAGTCAGCAATATCTGCCTTCAACTAAAGGTGCCATCGAACAGGAAACACAAAGAAGTTTAGGGGAGCCCAAGCGTGCTCCATCCTTCATGGATACAGCCCAGATGAATGATGCCAGCTCAGATTAGAGTACCCAGGCTGCCAATATTCCTCAACCATTAGCACACATGAGCAAGAGGAAATGTGGGCCAGTGTTTAGATTTCCCAGTTCACCTGAAAGATGGCACCTTTTTCTGCTAAGCAGAGCCCAACTTCAGGGCTGGGTCCCCAGACCCAAAGGCATTCATTTGGGATTGTCTAAGCCCTTCATTGATCCACTGGGTGGGCATGGGCCTGTGGAAGTCAGGCCAGCTGTGTCACATTAGTTTTCTGAGGTATATGGCCAAAGTGGCTTCAAGAAGGCTACAGGCCAGGACATCTGGACATTTTTCCTAGCACTATCACCAACACATAGTCCATATCTTTAAGTTCTTCTAGAGCATCTTTTCCACCTCCTTCTTTAGATGAAGCCTGGCTCTCCCCAAGCCTCCAGTGGTGGCTACTTGCTGAGTTACATGCCATGTGACTTGGGGCCCGGAGGTGGTGTTGGGGTCCTCCTTGATCCACACGGCCACATGCGGTCCATCGTTCCTCTACGTTTTTGCTAAAAGAACAACAATCTGCTCCTCTGTGGTTTATGAAATTGAACTCTACCCCCCTTCCTCATCCTCACTGCTGTCATCCACCAACTCTTTTTCTGACTCATCAAACATGGTGACTCCTGGGCATGCCTTCTCTTATTCTCTAAGATCTGCCATTGTCCTCACTGATTTTAATGTTTCACATCTCAGTTCCTTAAGTGCCACTTCTCCAATGACTTTGCCTCCCCACCTAAAGTTACCTACTCCTGCAGACACATCTTAACTCATGTTAGTATCCATAAGTGCTCCATCTTCAGAATCTCTCATTCAAGCATCCCTGTTGGTGAAAACCACATCCTCCCCTTGCTGATTATTTAACTACTCCCTAAGATTATTCTACTTTGTCAAAACTTCTAGTCCCCTCACCCTTTTACTTCTTTGCAATCTGTCAACACTCTCTTGTCTTCAGCCCTACCTTGATGCGACAGAGATTTAGTGGTTTACCATTTCAATAACTTTCTGCTCAATACATCTTGTTGTGCTATTGAATTGTGTGTACTGTCTTTTCACAGCGCTCTGGAACAACTCAAATATTTTCTGTCTTTGTACTTACACCAGAGTATCATCACACAAGAGGGCATACTGATTATCCTATAATCTTTGGTCACCAATTTCACCTATGGCCACTGAGCATTGCCAGAAAACCTAGGAATGTTTCTCTAGTCAACTCATGCTTAATCGCTCAAGATGACTAGTTCACATTTCCTGCTCTCTCCTTAACTCTGACACTCTTCCACTGTCTACTTTCAGCCACTGGCCATACCTCCTACTTTACAGAGAAAAACAGAGCCACTGGTTGGAAACTCCCACATCTTTGTGAAAACATATATAAACTAATTTTCATCTGCAACCCCTGACTGCCTTCCCTCCTACTCAGGAATCTGACCCACCTTTTATCTAAAGCTAACCCTCTACCTGTGGTTTAGATTCCAAATACTCCCACTTTCTCAAGAATGCATTATTCCTTTCCTTGTATACCCAACCTCTTTTCCCCACTACCTTTTAAATTTGCTTATTAAAATAAAAAAGGAAAACCTAATATTTCCTCAACTTCTCATCTACTCCAGGTACTATTCTCTGTCTTTATTCTCTCCTTCACAACCAGGATTTTTGTTACCCATCCTTATCATTTCTGTTTCCTTATTATCACTCACTTCCTCTATTTCTTCACATGGACTTGAGTTACTGTCTTTTATTTTAGAATGAAGAACTCTCTTTAGTATTTCTTGTAGGGAAGGTCTACTAGTGATAAATTCTTTTAGTTTTTTTTTTTTTTTATCTGTGAATGTCTTAATTGCTTCATTTTTGAAGAATAGTTTTGCTGGCTATAAAATTCTTGGCTGAGTCTTTCAGCACTTTGAATATTTCATACCACTGCCTTCTTGCCTCTATGGTTTCTGGTGAAATATTAACTATTAATCTTATTAAAGATATCTTGTAAATGAGGAGTTGCTTTTTTGCTTTCAAGACTCTTCCTTTGACTTTCCTTTTTGACAGTTTGATTATGATGTGTCTAAGTCCAGATCTCTTTGAGTTTATCCTACTTGGAGTTTATTGAGTGTCTTGGATGTATAAATTAACACTTTAAATCAAAATTAGGATGTTTTTGAACATTATTTCTTCAAATATTCTTTGTGCCCCTTTGTCTCCTCTCTTTCTGGTACCTCCAGTTGTGTATGTTGGTATGTTTGCTGGTGTTCTACAGATGCCTAGGCTTTGTTCATTTTTCTTCACTCATCTCCTCCTATTCCCCAGACTGGATAATCTCAATTGACCTATCTTCCATGTTTGTTGATTCTTTATTCTACCTGCTATTGATCCTTAGTGAATTTGTCATTTCAGTTACTGTACTTTTCATCTCCACAATTTCTATTCAGTTCCTTTGCACAATTTCTATGTCTTTATTTATAATTTCATTATTGTCATATTTTCCTTTAGGTCTTTAAACATGGTTTTATTTAATTTTTTGAACATATTTACAGTAGTTGATTTAATATCTTTGTCTAATAAGTCCAAAGTTTAGGCTTCCTTAGGGACAGTTTCTGTTGACTGTTTTTTTCCCCCTCTGTATGAGCCATACTTTCTTTTTCTTTGTAGGTCTCATAATTTTTGTGGAAAACTGGACATTTTAGATAATATGATGTGTCAACTCTGGGAGTCAGATTTTCTCCAGGGTTTATTGCTGTCATTACTATTTGTTGTTGCTTATTTGTTTAGTGACTTTTCTGAACTAGTTCTATAAAGTCTGTATTTTTATTGTTGTTGTTGTTGTTGTAGTATATGGCCACTAAAATCTCTGCTCTGTTAGTTTAATTGTCATCTTATTTGGATAAAGCTTTCTTAAATGCCTAGAACCAGTAAGTTTCCCAGTCTTTGCCCAGGGAGGGGCTCTGTGTACAAGCTAGATCATGGCATCAGTTTTAGCGAGGCAGTGGCTGCCTGGTAAAAACTGCCTTTACCTCTCACATTCTGCTTGCATGGGGCCTCAATTTCAGCCAGAGGCGAAGCCTAGCCCCTTAGAAGCATGAACATAGCCTTATGCATGAAAACATCCCTATAGATGTGTGTGTTCTTCTAGGTCCCAGGAATACTTTGAAGTTTCTTCAAGGCCTCCTATAAATACCCCATTCCCTAGTTTTTCCACTTAAGCCTGTTGTTTGCCCAATTATATCCACTGCTTCTGGAAGCAACAGTGTTAAACAATTGTCTCTGGTTTCTTTTTTTTCACAAATGCCACTCAAGTAAAGGCCTTTGCACTATGCAGGCTCTGAGGTCAAATAAAGACAGACTTGCAGGTGGGGTTTTTCAGGAAACCACTAACGGGTCATATAATGATGGTTCTCTGGGTATGGGGTTTTGAAGGAGCTCCAACGCCATTCTTTCCCCTCCAATGGACTCCTAGGCTGTTGTCTTCCACTGTTATTGTGGGTATTGGCTTTCAAGGCTACTATGGAGCTGAAGAGGAGAAATGAGAATAGTGTAAATTAAAACATCCAATGCTTGCTATTCTTACAAAAATTCAGCCATTTTTTTTTCTTCAAAGAAACACTCTCTTGATCTTTCTAAGCTTCCGATTAATTTCAAGGGTTCTGAAAAGTTTGTTGTGATAGTTTTTGCCATGACTCTTCTTGCTTTTATGGCGTAAAAGATTTTCAGAGATTCCTACTCTGATGTTTTCAATGACATTGATTGTTAACATCCTAACCCACTCCAGTCTAATCATTACTCCACTAAAAGAGGTCTCCCTTTGTTGTTACCATCCAGTTCCCCTAGGTCGCACCGCTAATCTGTATCTGATGGCATTTAATGTCTATCCCTTTGTAGCACTTGGTGAAATTATAATTTCCCTCTTATTCGTGTGGTTATTTAATCAAGCTGCTTCCCCACTAGACTATTGGCATCTGCAGTCAGGCCGGCAGAGTGAACCTGCTCACTCCCTCCAAGCCAATAACTTTTCCGAGAACATCTTAGCAGAGGGCTGCTGCCACCTAAAGGTCAAGTTCATCTCCATCTCTGGTCCAACTACTCAAGACCAATGGCTCATGGGAGAAATGAGCACCATTACTAAATTTTCAGAGGCAAGGATAAACCAGAGAAGGATTTTCTTCTTGCCAAGGGAGAAGGGAAGAGGAAAAGGTATGGCTTTGTTGTTACCAGTCAGGCCCACCTCAGAATGCTTGTTCTCTTTAGGGATAATTTACATACAATAAATTTCACCCGTTTTAAACAGACCGTTCAATGTGTTCTCACAAATGCATGCAATTATGTAACCACCACCATAACCAAGATATGGCACATTTACATCAATTCAAAATGTTCTCCTGTACTCCTTTTCCATCATTCCCTACTCCAGAGACCAGAACACAAGCTTTTTCCTGGGCTCTCTAGACATAAGAGCCCCAGAAGTGCTTGTCATTAGCCCTCTGCTTGCACAGAAAGCCTCCGTGGAGACGGAGAAGATACTGTGGTCTTCATTCAGGATTCTAGGGGTTCCGGTGTGACCCCGGTCAACTCACCTGTCTGTGCAGGCTGATGAATTTCCGAGGGTCCCCATCAGCCCAGGGTGGGAGTTGAACGTCCCCCAGTGCTGTCCCATCCTGCATGCAGCCTGAGGGGGGTGAGAAACAATAGGCCTTTGGGTTAATGGGAGCCCAGACTGGACTAGGAACCAGGGGATATAAACACTGTGCTATCCAGGACTGCTGGTTCCTTGTAGATCAATCCTGCACAGGCCTTACAGCTTCTTGCTTCTTCCGTCTGGTGTGTCCCCACCCTTATCTGCCTGGAATATTCCTGCTTGGTCTCCAAGCCTTCAACCCTCCACAAGACTCTCTTTGCTTCCCAGGCAGGTTTGTACTCAATTCACAAGTCCCATAAAATGACAGTAATGTCAATGTGTGTATGTCTTCCTCTCTGCTACTCTCTACCTTTTCATCTGGGCGCTTTTTATCCAGTGCTAAAACAGTAAGGAGATCATAACGATAACAGTAAAAGCTATCGTATTTTGAGCACCTAACTCCATGCCAGAGCACTATGCTAGATGCTTGGCACACATCATCTTATTGAATCTTCATTTAACTTTATAATTTATGCATTTTCTCTCCATTTTTAAAGTGAGGACAGCAAGGTTTTTAGAGGCAGCTTCCCCAGGTATTAGAAAGAGGAGTCTGGATCCGAGCCCGAGTCTCTCTCCTACCCATTAGCTGCACAACCTTGAACGTGTTGCTTAACCTCTTTGGGATTCACTTTTCCTACCTGTTACCAAACTCCCCCCCCCCCCCAACTCCACCCAAGGCTGGTAGAGAAATGCACACAATGTGTTTAGAAAAACTCCAGGCATACAATGGTCGCCCAGTAAACATTAGTTATGGTCTTGCTTAAACCCTCCAGAGCCTTCATGGTGCAATGAGAATAAAACCTTTCCCTCCTCTCTCTGGTCTACAGGTTTGTGCCCGACGCAGCTCTTCTTACCATCCAGTCCCAGCTTGCCCGTCTAACTTGGGAGGTCCTTCCTAGGGACCAAAATGACACAGGGCACTCTGAATCACTCTTGAACCATTCTTCTACCTTGTTTCCTCATAAAAATTCTCTGCATCACACAGTATTTCGCTTACTTATTTGTCTCTGTTTTCTATCCTTTTCCTCCATCTCTGTATAGAATGTAAACACTTTCAGGACAATCTGTCCCAGGAGGCCCAACTAAATCCCCAATGCCTAAAAATTTCCTACATACAGTAGGTGCTCAATAGCCCCTTGATCCTGACTTCCTTGAGGTTACCTGGTCGTTGGCATGTGTGTCATTTCTGCAGCTAAGCTCCTCTCCCTTTCTGCAGAGAGCCCCACCTTCCTTTCGAGGGCAGGAGTGGTGCTGTCCCTCGGGCACCATTCTCACCCCAGGCTGGCTTCATCCCTGACTTACTCCTTTCATGGGCACCACCACATCTTGTGGGAAATGCCCTTCATGTCCGTCGGGGTCTCATCCCTGATGCAGGTGAGACATCTGAGAATCTGAACACTGCTCAGGCCACCGAATTCCATGGGGTCAAACTTGCTGGGCGTGGGCTTGGGCCTGGGCACGTTTTAAATGCCCCAAAGGTATTCTGCCCCAAACCACAGCAGGAGAGGCGAGTACCCGGGGCAGTAGCTGAATCTCGCCCATGCCCCCACTGCATCCGCACCTGGCCTGGTTCAAGGTGCATGCCCCTGTGTGCTGTTTGGAGGAAGAAGGAGGGCCTGAGGAAGGGGGGCTCTGGAGCACAGGTGTGTGCTGGTGACAGTTCACAAGTGCCCTCCACAGGGTGAGTGATCCCATCTTTTTTCTTCTGTGGGGAGAGTTGCTCACACCCTGCCCCAGGCTCTGACCACACATCTTCTTCCGCAAGTCACCCTTACATCTGCAGTGGAGATCTGCCGAGGTATACACACAGTCACCAGAGGACCTGCTCGCTGGGGCTTCCTGAAATTTTTGCTGCTCTTCTAAACCAGTAAGTAAGAAGGCATAGTTCATCCTGGGGTGAGGCCTGATGCACAAGAAAGGGAATGAGCCACCAGCATCCCCATACAGCCAGCATGCCATCTAGTGAGCAATTTGTCCCAGGAGGCCCAGCTTCTCTGGGTCCAACTCATGGAGTCCAGGGTAACCCATTTGTGGGCCGTGGAGGAAAGTGGGGCCACAGAAGGATGGGGGTTTGCCCAAGGTCATGTAGCAGGGCAGTGCCAGACCTGGATGTTAGCAGAGCTTCTCACTGCAGACTGAGACCTGAGGACCCCCCACAGGAAGGGTCACGAGTAGGGCCATAGCTCAGAGCAGCCTGGGGCCCAGCATCCTTCCTGGGTTCCCACCTTGCCTTTGAGTGCTGCCATGGAGGGGAGACCTCACAACAACCACTCTGGTCTGGTGAAGGGGCTGCTCATTTAGTTGCATTGATGCAGTTAGTCATTACTAGTGAGCTCCAGGGGAGTCATCCCTGCACTGCCCAGTCCACCATGGCCACACATTGGCCTCCACTCACCGAACTCCACGGCATTGCAGTTGACTAGGAACTCAGGGAGGTAGAAGAACTCCGGAGTCAGTTCCCTGACGTCACTCATGTTCTCTCTGGAGGCCGAATCCCATGCGTTCTTTACGCTGTGGAACATTCTGTCTGCTACATCAAAGCTTCCGCCCTGTGAGGAAAAGGGACCAATGTGATCACTTGTGTGCAGTGAGAACTCAGATTGTGTGGGCACTGCCTGTGTGTGCCTCCCTCGTCTGTTCTGCCACTGAGGCACAGGTTCTACCATTAAAGCTTTCTTTCCATTCACTACACATTTGTTTGCCAATCCATGCATGTGTGCCATGGGCTCTTCATGCATCTATTCACTCAGCCATTCTCTGGACCCTTGCACAGCAGGCTTCCCCAGAACCAGGCTCAGATCAGAGACAGGAAAACCGCGGTCATTCATCTGCCCATTCCCCACATTTGCAAAGGAACCACTCTGAATCAGGCACAGATGGGATACAAAGAACCCACTATAGCACAGAAAGTGGGCCAGCCATTCCCTGTGGGAATTCCAAGTTTCCTGGAGGAGTTGAGCCCTGGTGAGTTTGCAAGCCTGGTGATAGAGAAGAGGCAAGGCCAAGGCCAGGAGCAGAAGCAGAAGGAAGCAGCCTAGCTCAGGGACCTGCTGACATCTAACAGAGAAACCTGACAAGAGGGAACAGGTCTGAGGATGATGAGCTGGGAGGCACACCAGCCCCCCGAGACAGGAGGCCGCTCCATGAAGACAAGATGTCTGTAGGCTCTCCATGGCCATCCTGGTTCCAAGGCCCATGTCCATGGGTGGCCTGATGAACCCCAGGCTTGGAAGCTACGATTGGACCAGTTAAGACTTAAAGCAAATTCTTTCGTTGGATCCTCTGCTCTTCTCATCTGAATCATCAAATCTCTTTAGTTGATGCTACCCTTATTTGCCAGGTGGCCTTGGGGGTTGGGAAGAGGAATAAAGGTCTAGGCTTTGGGTCTCCTTAAGTTTAGGGTCACCCCCAAAACACCTCCCTGAGATCAGATAGTTCACTTGTCCCCATCAAGGCGGGGCCTTTGTTCAGTCAGAACTCATCCTCCTTCTGCCAACTTCTGCAGAGTTCTTGTGGCCCAAGAACAAACGGGTAGAACCCAGAAGGACAGCAGCCTCCTTGCCCCCATCAGCTCCCTTCACTTCTCAGAGGCTGAAGCCTCCAGTCAGCATTTACCTAGGGAAGCTTTTGGGTGAGCAACTTCAGCAGTGGGTGAAGGGTAAAGATGGGCCAAAGCTTTCTCTTGGCCAGTCTACTCTATGTCAGGCCCCTTATACAAACAGAGAGGATGGCTCTTAATCCTCATTGCAGGTGTATCAGGAAGGAATTGTATTTCCATTTAGCAGACCAGAAAACTGAAACTCCTGAAGGTTTACTGGTTTTCCCAAGGCTATCAAAGCAATGAATGGCGGAACCGGGTCAAACTCATGGATGCCATGCCAAAGGATATACTTTCTTTGCCATTGTGCCAGTTTATTGGGGGAATCCCTGGGTCTTGGGCAACTATAATGTACGATGTGTGGGGCAAGGGGTCTCAGCTCTTTCTGCAAAGGGAGGATCTGCCACATGCCTGAGGTGGACCACATTTGGGCATCTTGGTGATCTGGTGGGTTTTCCAAGTCAAAAACTCACACCCGGTGAGATCCATAGGTCATTCGCTGCAAATGGACAGGGACACCGAGAAAGCCAGTTGCCCCTGGACTTGCAATCCAACACATTACCTGAGCAGCATAAGGACATGGCTTTTCTCCAAGGTCGCGTTGCTCTTGGTTGAAATTAGGGGGTGGTGCCTGCCATCGGATTCAAATTGAAATGGAAACAAAATAGGGGGAGAGTTTTTAAATAAATCTGCACCTAACAAGTCACTCATTGAAACATATTAAGAGCTTTGTGTATTTAATCTGCAGCTCAAGCCTTACATCTGCAGCAGATTGATGCCTTCTCTTCCCCCTGTATTCCTTTTGCAGCTTTTATGAGTGCTGATGGTAATCTCCTGAGAAACAATATGATTTGGTAATAAAAAGATTACCTGTATTAAATAAAAATAATATATACATAGGAAATATTGTTAGTGCTACAAATCTGGTTAAAGATATTACCACAAAGAAAAATGTTATTTTTTTCACAGCTGTCTAATGCATTTTAGCAAAAGTAATATCTTTAAAACTTAAGCCTGTATTATTTATAAAGGAAGCAATAACTGATTTTCCTATTTCCTATATTAATAAATGCATTTGCATACATTTGTTTCAAAATTAATGGGTTTTTTCACCTCTGCAATACAAAAGAAATGCCAAATTCCCTAGAAGAAAAGTAGAGCTGCTTTGTTTCTTGTACTGTAACCCAGTCTGTGGGTTGATACAAACTCTGGTGGCTTTCAGCAATGAGTCCCAGCCAGGACGAGATTTTCAGGAAAGGAAGGAAAGAGCAACGGAAGAGAAGGTAGAAAAAAGGAAGGGAGAGAAGGAGCGAGGCAGAGAGTCACAATGAAGTTCTACAGGTTGTTGCCATCAGGAAAGTCCAAAACAAAATAAAATAAAACCCCAACAAAATGAAGTCTAGAGATTGGATGGAAACAAAAGGCTCAGAGAGAATTACTGAGCCAAGATTTGCTCCTAAATTGATTCTGCAGATATTCTTGAATATCAAGAACAATGAGTCCTATGTGTATCCAACATACTGGGAAAAACAAGAATAAGATTATTATTATCAATGAAGGAACAACCTTGAATGTTGGCAGAAGACTTCTCCCATGTGACTTTAAAGCTAGAAGCAAGTCAGCCAAGGCTGGAGGTTTCTGAGGCAAAAGGTACAGGCTCTGGGTTTTATGTCCAACTGATATCACTCCTTCGTGAAGACACCAGAAAGATATTCTGAATATTTAAAGGGCTCAGAAACAATATCCTAGGTATCTTTCCTCAATTAAAATATGTTAAGAGGTACAAAATTTTGCTAAGGGAGGAATCAAAATCAAAACCAAAATAATGGGGAGAGAAAAGGCCAATAAAGACTTCTGCTGGAAGTGGACAAGAGATAAATGAGAAGTCCGTGATCATGATGCATCTATGAAAACTGGAAACAGTCTTGAAAGGAGTGTTCCTTTTGTGCCAGACCATGATGTCTATGCGCACCTGTCTCCCACGGTAAGCATTTCAATAGCGATATTCTTAAGCTCTTCCGTGTGGACAGGGGAACTATGTTGAAAAAGAACCATTCAATTCTTGACCAACAGCCACAGGAAGTTCAGCAATTGCATGTGCTCAAGGACACTCACACGTGGATAGTTGTACAATATATGATAGGAAGTCTATTTTTCCTTCCCCAAACCAACCCACTGCTACATCCTAGTGATGGGACTGGGCTTATGAGCAGGCTGACAACCTATTCTCATGACAGACGTTCTCTCCAGTAATTTAAAAGTGTCCCATGTAAACAAATCACTTATAAGATGCTGTGTGTACATCAGTTGATCGAAACTACTGTCCTCTGTCAGTCAGAGAAGCCGTGTGCAGCGAGAGGAGAGAGCACCCTAGCTCTGGAACCCAGCGGACTTGCCTGGAATTTCAGTATTACTTATACTATGAACACCAATGAGTTATTTTATTATTTTATTTTATTTATTTTATTTATTTTATTATCTTACGGGAAAGAGGCAGAGGGAGAGAGAGAGAATCCCAAGTAAGCTCCATGTCCCACGTGGAGCCCAACATGGGGATTGATCCCATGACCCTGGGATCATGATCTGAGACAAAATTAAAGGTCGGACACAACTGACTGAGCTACCCAGGCACCCCACACTAGTGAGCTTCTTAAAGTCTAACTGTCTTCCACACTTTTCCTTTCAGTCTTGGGTGACTGTTGTGGGTGTGAAGATATGTATGTGTGAGCACAGGAGTGTGAGTGTGCATACGTGTGTGTGAGGTACCTCCCACAGGGCCAGGCACACAGGAAGAGATGCCCACAGAGGCCCGCCCTTCTGCCTATTTCCCTTCTCAGTCTAGGAACAGAGGAGCAATCCTGGGCTTGGGCCCTGATCTCAGTGTGCATGGGGAAGGTAACCAGGGGCTCAAAAGAAGAAAAAGAAAAAGAATGTAAAAGTTATTGGAAGCAGAAGGTGGGATATGGGGGAAGGTGAGGAGGGGCGGGGTTCTGGGGCAGGAGCAGGAGGGAAAGAGTGAGTATATCATCAGGGCAATTTGAAGACACACCACCTCCAAAGAAACGCAGCGGTGAATGTGTGCAGTTGAGAGAGAGCCGGGCTTGGCCTTCTGCAGGCCTCTTCAGAAAAATGCCAGGCTTGGGGCACCTGGGTGGCCCTGTTGATTGAGTGTTCAACTCAGGTCATGCTCAGGTCAGGCTCGGGTCATGGTCTCACAGTTCATGAGTTTGAGCCCCATGTCAGGCTCTGTGCTGACAATGTGGAGCCTGCTTCAGATCCTATCTCCCTATTTCTCTGCCCCTCCCCCACATGTGCTCTCCCTCTTTCTCTCTCAAAAATAAATAAATAAACTTAAGAAAAAAAGAAAGATGCCAGTCTCTAACACCCCACTTGTTGAGCTGAGCTCTTGGTCCAGTGGTGAATTTGGGAAGCCTGTGTATCAGCTGGGCTGCCTCGTCAGCCTTGCTTTGGACTGAGAGTGGGCTGATCCCAGAGCAGCCATTAACTTTCCTTCCTGTAGAATGTGGCTCTTAAAAAAAAAAAAAAAAAAAAGAATGTGGCTCTTTACTCAATAAACAAAACCCACAAAGGTATTTTGAAAAACCTGCTGCCGAAGGTGGACCTATGCGGAGCACTTAGAAACAGTCAAACAGTAGCCTCCCCGCTCCCCTAGATCCACCGAGTCATGAGCACCTACCAGTCAGAGGTTATTTTAAAGGAGGACAGACAGAGGCTCAGTTATTCAACACTACCATTTAGAAAGTTCTAGAGCCAGGACTTTGCCCCATGTCTGCCTGTCTCTATTACATGTGTCTTTTCTGCTGCTCCTCGTTAGGTCAGTATAATGATAATTATACCTTCGTTTTGGACACAAGTGCACCCAGACCTGCAGCCCGGCACCCATGGAGTTCCCAGGTGAAGCGCCCGGGCTGTGCTCTGTTCTCTCTGCAGTTAGCATACGTCTTCCACAAACACCAGCCATCTCGCCTCAGGTGGTTCAGAAAACCCTTCCCCACCGCTGGTAACAGCTGCCTTCGCACGGGCTGCGACTTAATTAACACAGCACTTTATTTCAGTTTCTTATTAAATGTAACAGCAGCAGCAGCAACGGGCCACCGCACCCTCGTTGGGGCGCGGCTGCCTGGCTCTGCCCCTGCCCGGATAGTCTCATCTTGGTCCCAGGAGAAGCCAGCGCTCTCGCCAGGGCGCAAACGGGGGCCCGGGCGATGGCCCCAGTGGCGGTGGTGTGGCCTTTCGCTTGCTTGACTGTTGGAGGCTCACAGGCACGGGCTCCAGGCTGGCAAGTTGCCTGAGAACAACAGCCTCTCGGGAGCCAAGCCCCCTGCTCTGGCAGACGGTGGGTGTCATACTTGCAAGGGAGTGGAGACAGCAGCACACAACCGGCTTGTGTCTCCTCACACTACAACCGACTGGTGGCACCTGCCCTGGTTGTGATGCCCATATGCCCTATTTCCTGGATTGTAAACGTCTGTCATTGGAATCCGGCTTCGAGGCAGAAAACGAAACACAGCAACAGCGAGAAATGCATCAGTTCCAAGATCAGCCCCAAATTAATAAAATGTAAACATGAAGGGAACAAATCATACCTCACCCTCAGGGATCAGAAAACACTGCAAGGCAATTCTAGGCTATGTGTGAGAGCCCCTCCGTCTGCCCACCTCCTGCTCAGGGAGCAGGACATGGTGCCCAAGGAACGCTGCATCTGCCCCTAAATAGTGCACCAGACTGCACTGGGCGCAGTGCACGGACACACAGCTCTGCACACCAGAGGCATATCGTCCGCCAAGCCATCAAGCGAGCAGGCAAGTCACTCTGGCTTATTCAGGCTACTAGGCAAGAGGCAGAATTGGCCTAATGCAGAGGGGGGAAGCATGCACTTTCTCATGCTGACTTTTGTATGTACGTCTAGCTCTGGAAGCTGCTGACATTCCCAGTTTCCCACTCTCCAGATAAATACACTAAGAAGGGATAAATAAACTAAGAATCGCACCTGGATTCTGCACCTTCTCCATCTTTCTTATTCTTCCCTAGTCCACGGTCCATGCTGCAGATGAAGGTCTAGGCTATTGAGAATATGGTCATGCTCCTTTACTTGTCACTACACAGGAGTGAAGCAGAGGTCTCTTGAGAAGAAATAAGCCTGCCCCTTTGAGACAGTGTGGGTCAGAGAAAAGAGCTTGACTTCACGAAGATGCCAGAACATTCCTAAGGAGGTCTGTGAAGGCCCCAAGATTCCCAAAGGAGACCCAGGGACATTCTCCCACCTCCCCTGGATGTATGTAGCCTTTTACTTTTTTCCTTGGGAGCTAAAATTGATCTTTTATTCTAAGGAAAAAGAAGAAGAGGGATTTTTCTTATGACCCACTAGAAGAGTCAGTTAAAAATAGCACACATGGAGAACCTAAATTATTTCAACTCAGATGGGCCAACATGACACAGACAGATTTGAACCAGGAAAAACCGGGATTCACATCGAACTTCAACACGAGAGTCAAAGGGCTAAAACTAATGTGACTACATGTGTGCATATAAAATTGGTTCTGATTATCTTGTACTGGTTTAGACCATCCAAACCGGTTTGATATGGTCACCAATGGACCAAACCAGCTTTAAAAAGTCAAACTAGTTGTGACTAACTTCAAAGTGTTCTTAATCCAGTATTGTCGTGGGTTCACAGCACACCTGCTTCGCCTGGCTTATGCCGTCTCAGAATGTTTCTATGTGGTCCAGACCATCTTGAGTTAGCTAAGCCCAGAGGGGACCAGCTTGAACAAGTTCAGGCTTGCTCGCACTAGATGTGGCTGACTGCAGGGAGAAGGAAAGTAACAATGATTGATCACCTACGTAGTGTCAAGCCCTGAGCTAGGGGCTTTACCCACATTTCCTTATTCAGTCTCAACAGTCCAGGGAGCTATGCATAATTGACCCTCATTTCCAGGGGTAAAATAACTTGCAGAAGATTCTGTATCTGTTAAGTAGGAGAGCTGGGGTATAAATCTTACAGCTGACACCTTTTCTATTTCACTGTGCCCCTTCTCCATGTGAAAGGACCCTTAGTAACAGGTAGGGACCGGGCTTTAGTGCATTAGACTGAGGGACAAAAGAAAGCTTTTAAAGCATCCAGAACTGCCTGGAGGGAATGCTGTAAGGGAATGCATCACCATCATCATCGACAGTGATCATCGTTTCTTGTGGATTAATGAGCAACATCTGGATGGGATTCCTGGCATGAGCTATAGCTCTGGGACCATTTGTTCTCCAAACCAAACTTACTTAAAATGCTTGTTGCCTGAGAAAGACTCAGGGGAAGCACACTTATTATTTTTGAGTGAATTTCCAGGGAGAGAAGGTTATACAATGTCTAGACGATCCATGTCTTTAAGGAGAGAGGAGACCTGCGCCAAGAAACAAGACAGGATTTTGCTCCTTATTGGGGAAATCACCTTGACCTTGCCTAACCCGTTCCTGCCCAGGGCTTAGGAGTTGAATTTAGTGCTGACCCAAGGTGGCCTTTGGTCTCATCTGACCACAAGAGGAACCTTGTTGGTGAGGTCAGACCAAAAACCACAATTCCTGGAATACTCACACTTTCTCTTTGATGAACTTCGCTATCGGAGTAAGTCTGTGCATATTCAGCGGCCTGTTGCCCACCACCGCTTGTGCCTTCCTCTCCATAGGACACTTGCAAGGCCCGGAGAGGGTCAGGCTCTACACTTGCACTGTGTGCTGCATTCACTTTGGAGTTGACGGAGCCAGCTGGCTGCAACTGGGCTACCCAGTGGCTCTCCCCAGTCAAAAACTGTGCCCCCGGGACACCTGGGAAGCAGGATCCCAGTGGTAAGGGCAGAAGGGAAAGGGAGAAAATAAGCCTCTCAGCTACCCGCAAAGGGACTCTGTCCCAGAAGTCTCATGTGCCTTGGACAGCACCACCCACCAAGAGCCTGACTTGCTCACTTCATGCTCTATAGGGCCACAAGGTAAAACACAAGGAGGCCCAGATATACATTTAAATTGCAGATAAACAAAAAAATAATTTTTTAGTATAAGTCACTTTATCTGAAATTTGAATTTACCTGGGCATCCTGTATTTTTAATTGTGAAATCTGGCAACCCTAAGCTGGCATGATGAATGGTCTATTAGTTTCTGGGTGGGTAAGTTAGTTAGTTTCTCTCCAGTTCAGCTACTCATTATTCAAATGCTTTGTCCTTTTAAGCCTTTCAACTTGTATTTAGCATAGCCGTCTGCATTCTGATGTCACAAGTGATATTCTTTCCACTCTTCCTCCTTTGTGTTTATTTTTTTAAGTTTTCTAAGTTTTGACCACCTACCTCAAGCTTGCTGCTCTTCCTTTTCCATTAAAACTTACTTGTGTTAAGTATTTTTCCCCATATCTCTCATTGCTTATTTTCAGAGCCTTTTTGCAAGACTATTGGGCAGACATTGCAGGTGTCATTGACAATGAGCAGCCTGACTCAGTTGGACTGCTCAGAATCTTGGAGCCAGCATCAAGTGGGAATCACTTGGTGAAGACTGGATTTCTAGTAGGGAGATCCCAGTTTCACCCAAGCCTAGCTCTTAGTCTGTGAGATATAGGTGTGTGTGTGTGTGTGTGTGTGTGTGTCTGTGTGTGTGTGTGTGTATTGTGTAAGGGAGTAAAATAACTCACCTGTAGAGAGCAGAAGGCCTGGGTATAGGGTGGCATCCGGACCAGGTAGGAGGCGACAATGATAGCCGAGGAATAGTGAGTGTAGTAGTGGCACTGGACGGTCATGTCTCCTGCAATGAAAGGACATGCCTGGGGTGGATGTGTCCCCTGTACTGGGGCAGACTGGAGATACACAGGCCCTACAGTGCTCAGGCGTGAGCAGTGAGCCCCAACCCTGCTCAAGGGAGCACCTTCAGGCCAGTGGAGACTTGGTTCTGCTCACAGATGCCATTATAATTTGGCCAGGAGCCACCCGTGGTGAAAAGAATATTCAAGACCCTCAGCTGCATCCCCAAGTCCTCAGTGCTCTACTCTCAAGAATGTGGGCAGAGCCAGACTCTGGGAAGGTTGTACTCAGGATTCATGGGGAGACAGTGCTTTGGTCTTCCGACTTAAGGGGTATATAGAAAGCCTACAATCCCCCCAGTATAACCAGCAATGGCCTGAACCAGCTCCCTACAGTGACAGCCAGCCATCTTGCTGCCAGCCCCAGGCCAGGCCTGAAGCCCTCCCTTGTGCCATGCAGGATTTCTCTAAGTCACAGTTATCTGGGAGGTGATTGCAGGAACTTGTACTAGGTCCCAAATCCAACGGACAGCTCAAATGCACACCCGGAAGACGGGAGAGAATGGGGCCAAAGCCAGTGGGATCTGATGCTCTCCTGGCCCGTCTCTGTGGAGATGACCCAGAAATGCCTGGCAGCCAGACAAACAGTGCTGGGGGCTTGAGTGGGACCCCGTGATTGAGCCTTAGCCTCAGGAGGAAAGAAGCAGGGCAAGGAGGGCTTTCCCAACCCTCCATATCTTCCCATCTGCCCCCAGCAAGTCTGAGAGCCAGCCCCATGCAGAGAGGGGGTGCCGGGCAGGCCTCCTCCGGCAGTGCAGGATGCAGCAAGAGCCTCCCTCTCCTGCTGAAAGCCTTAAAAAGCAAGGTCACTGGGCCATAAGCCTTTCCAAAGTATGCCACCTTCTGGGTCCCAAGGGAATTTTTCATGGTTCCTGGATGGCTGCTTCTTATTTTAAGCTATACATTTATTGCAAAGTGTTTGAGAAAACCAATGTAGCTAGCAAGAAATGCATGATAGAAAAATTTCTTTTTAAAATATACCCAGGGCGGGGTGGGGGGGGGGGGCTCAGTCAGTTAAGTGTCTGACTCTTGATTTCAGCTTATGTCATAATTTCATGGTTCGTGAGTTCAAACCCTGCATCAGGCTCTGTGCCCATTTGGGATTCTCTCTCTCTTTGCTGTGCACTGGCTCTCACTCTCTCTCTCTCTCTCAAAAGAAATAAACTTAAAAAAAATTTAAAAATGCATTCATTAAAGTTTAAGAAGAGAATAGATCTAAAGAAAAAAATTAAGGCAATAGGAGTTCAAGTCACATGTGAATGTGGCAAAAATTGTAAAGGTGCTGTGCAGATGAACAAAGTTTGGGAACTAGGTTCTAGAGCCAGACAAACACAGTCTCTGCCATTGAGAAGCTGTGATCTTGAACTCGTTGCCTGAACTCTCTGAGTTTCAATTCCCTTCTCTTTGAAAGGGGCCATTGTATTTCTGCATGTAGGCGGACAGGTCCCTGGACTATAGAAAGCGCTGAATGAATGTTATCTCCCTCTTCCTCAGCCAGCCCCTGGGTAAGAAAGTATCAGCTCTCAGCACAGTAGTTCTCAGTCCTGGCTGCACCTCACCAGAACTTCTAGAGCTGGGGCCTGGACATCAGTATTTTTAACATCCCCACCCCCACCAAATTCTTGGGTCCCCCTCAAGCCCCCACCCCCACGCCCAGTATTTTTAACATCTCTCAAAGCCCAGGTGACTCTTCCACGTGGCTAGGGTGCAGGCCAGCAGACTCAAGCTGTCCTCTAACATACTTGTTTCCAGGCTAGGTGACAGCCTGCAGAGTCACCAAGGATCATTTCAAAGCGTTCAGATGAACAACACTACCGAATAAAGTCAAGCTGGGATCTACCCACCTTCAGTTTTCTCAACTTCTTTAAACCTCTGGATAAATTTCAGCTTCCTTTCCTTGGTCTGAGCCCCCATGGGCTTTGAGAGATCGCGGAAAGTCTTGGGATTCGTCAAGTTCAATGTCTGGAAGGCAGATGTGTGGCTGGAGTTAACTCCCATCAGACCCTCTTGTGACCCAGAGAGACTTCAGGAGGCACGCTCTTTAGTTTTATGGTTCTCTTTATTGGTTTACTGTCGTTTGGTCTGACCCCCCTCTGGTGATTAGCAGGCGTGCTGGGGTTTTACGGCCCCAGAGCCAGTGATCCACAAAGACTTAATAGGGGAGAGATGGAAAATAAGAGGAGGGGAAGATTGAGTTCACACTGAACCTGTTCCAAGTTGACCCAAAACAGGACATCGCCACCAGTTACTGAAAAGAGACTTTCAAAAGAATCCCTGTTGTCTGTGAGGCCCTTGGCTCCAGCCCTCACAGAAGAGCAGGACGCTTCAGTAGTTCACAGTCCTTCCTTAGAATCAAACCAATTCTCTAGGAAGTTAGAAGTCCCCTGTTTGGGGAGGAGATGTGAGGAACGGCCTCATTCTTCTAGAGGCCCATCCCTTCTGGGAGAGCATGTAATGTCGCCCCTTCCCCTGCCCAGGGGAATATAATACACAGCAGTGGAGACCTGAAGTTTTTAGGGCCAGGTGTCCTTGGAGAGGTTTGCTTTCAGCAGAGATGTTCTACACGTAAGGAGAGGAGCTATGCATTCCCCAGGATTTGCACGTCTTATACAGAGTGTTTCTTTAAACCTCTTTTCCTTTTCACTAGCAGTGAATCGCCGCAGTCATCCTGGGGAGGCAGGGCCAGTCCCCACCTCACACCTGCAGAGCCGGGGTGGGGTGCAGGATGAAGCAGACACTTCTCAGACCCCAGTGACAGATAGATGGCACACATGGAGACCCATGCCCAGCAACTGCTGATTTTTCCAGGACAGGATGGGGTTTCATAGCCACTAGATTTCTGGATTCTCCAAATGATGCTGGAAATCCAGATTTTTAGGAGAAACCTCCCAATTTTTAAATATGGGTAAGTAATCAAAATTTGGGGCTAAACAAAAGGAGCTGGTAAACCACCACTTTGCATTATGTGAATTAAAGCTGGGATTTGCATGTTTCATTTTTGAAATACCTCAGCCCCAGATGTATCATTAGGGAAATCAAAGGCCACATACGGCTAGTGAGAAGTTTTGTGTTAAGTGTCTTAAGTTGGGATGGAAGGTCATAAAAGACTGAGACCCTCTCTCCCAAAGCCTGGGTATCAGCCATCCATACAGCCCTAGGCAGGACTGGCTAGGGCTGGTCTGAACCAGGACCCAGCCACCTTCCGTGCTTTAGACACATAGCCTAACAGCCCTCTTGAAGGCCAGAGCCCAGGTGGTTGGGACAGTGCTTCATCGCCGGGTCGTTCCCAGCAATATCACCTTGGCCCAGCTGTGCGAGCTGTCCTCCTCCCCTCCCCTACCTGCCAAGGCCCAGGGACACAGGCCCAAGCAGAAATGATCTGCTCTTGCTGTCAGCCTCACCTGTCCCTATGTGCCTCAGTCCAGATCCTGGGTGAAATCTACATACCAATATCTCAGTTGGTATCAATCTGAGCTGACATCAGGCTACCAGGGAGTAGTTTCTTTCTTTGGGTCTCTCTCTGTCTCTCCCCTTTTCCCTACCCATTCCCCCCACCCCCATCCACATGTTGATTCAAGGGATAAATTCCATGGCCTACTGCACTTGAAGGACTAGTGTTGGTCCATGGCAGTATCTCAGCAGATAGGTATAAGTTGCCTTGATAGGAGTGAGTAAGCCAGGAAGCCTTATGGGACAAATGTTAGCAACTGTCCTCATCATGTTGATCATCCCATATGTAATGTCACTTTCCCACAGGTGAGGCTGGATGGGGACCCAAGCAACCAGATTCCAAAGGCCTCTTCTAGGGTGAGGGGCTGAGCACAGAGCAGCCCTCAGGGCCTGGTGGACTGAACCTTGCAGCAGAAGCTCTGTGTGCTGATTTAGTGTGCTCTGGTCTTCAGGGTCAGAAAGCCTCAGGACATTTGAATAGCATCCATGTGAATACTGTACCTGTGAGGTGTAGTCGGCCAGGATCCAGGGAAACACAGGATACTGCATATAGTCATTGTAGGTCCTTCCAGCCACGGTATTGAGGTGCATGAGATACTCAAAATTGCTGATGTCCCTTTTCTACCAGAAGAGACAAAGAGGAGATAAACCAAACACAATTGGCATCTTCCTAAGGGCCATGAGAGGTCAGTCCCTCAGCAGCCCTGGTCTGTGTGGGTGACAGCAGGCAGCACACACGTCCAATGCTTCCCGTGCACCTTCTGCACAAGCCAGGCTGAATCACAGAGACCGTGCTAATTACAGAGTGAACTGAAGCAAATATATTCAGGAAACAAAGTCAGCCAGAAAAAAAAAATATAGCTCAGCAGGCCCTAGCCCAGGATAAAGCCTTCTTTTCAGTTAACTGTTGGGTGTGAAACTCAAAAGTTGATTAAAATAAGAGCACAGATGCTGTGGTAAACTTACCACTGACCTTTATATGATTTTAAAAAATAAGGTGAGATGACCTTGTCATCACAGAGAAAGAAGCTCTCACCAAGAGGCTGAACCATCTGTCTTCCTCTGGGAGTTTAGGGACTTTTTTTCCTGTCCCTATCTATTGGGATAACACTCGTTTTTAGGGCCTTAAAATGTACAGGCAAGGTAGAACCAGGAACTGTATTTGGGAAAAGTTTACCAAGGCCAATGGGTAAATGAACAGTCCACATCCTATATGGGACCTGCATGCTATGATCTCCCTTGGGCCTCTCGTTGGAAAAGGGTTTGGGACAGTAGTGACAAGCTTTCATTTCTTGTTCCCATGTGATCTCCAGGACTGGCCTTCTGGAGGCCCCTGCATTTCATCGAGAACCACAGGCCAAATGTCAGTTCATTCAAGCTGGGGGTCATGTGTGTCTTCTCACAACAAGAGGCGGATGTTTGTGCTCCTCTAGATGCTGTCCATTTACACATATGTGTATATCTGCATGGACAGAGCATGTGTGTGCATGTGTGCGCATGGGACATGTGCGTGCGCGTGCGCGCGCGCACACACACACACACACACACACACACACTACTCAGCTCTGACTCCAAGCCTCAAGTATCACTTTCGATCACTGAGATCGTTTTAGGGAATATTTGGGACATTTTGATAAATTAAAAAATAAGATCCCTCCTGATTCATCCACATGCCTTGTCTCTCACGTACTGGGGTCTGAGCTATTTTCTGATTTGCATGCCCGGGAGGTTTTTCCTGGCCTACCATCCCCTAAGGGGGTCACTATACCTGCCACCTCTGCAGCATGGTCCTGTCCAAGCCGGGGTACCTCCTGTGGGACAGAAAACAATAGTGGTGACCAAATATCTCAAGGCATGGGTGAGGGGAGAGGTGGCAATTTCTGGGAATCTCTGGGACCAGGGCATCCAGGAAAGCCAGGGCACATAGCAGCTCTCCTGGCAGGGTAACAAGATGATTACCCACACTCCTCTTGCCCCCACACCACCCGACTGAAGGTTAGGCTCTTCCTGTTACTTTTGTTCTGCTGTGATGCTGGAATATTCTACTGCTTTAGTGTGACCCATGGAAAAGTTGTAGGGCCATTGCAGAAGCAGGCTCAGAGGCCTCACCACCCCACCCTGCATTTCCCGTTGGCACAGTCAGCCTTCTTTACCCATGCAAATACAGTATGTGTGATTATTATATACTGACATACGACTACAACATATACATATAGTTTTAGAAATGCAAATAATAGGGGCACCTTGGTGGCTTGGTGTTGATCTCAGCCTAGGTCATGATCTCAGTTCGTGGGATCAACCCCTGCATCAGGCTTTTTCCTGACAGTGTGGAGCCTGCTTGGGATTCTCTCTCTCCCTCTCTCTCTCTGCCTCTCCTCCTCCCCCTTCAAAGTAAATAAAATTTAAAAAATTAAAATAATATATGAAAGGCCACAAAATGTAAGAGTCTCTTCACTCCTGGTCCCACTCAAGAAGTAGCCACAGTTAACAGTTTCCAGAATAGTTTTATCCCATCATACCTGTCTATATGCTTACATCGTTTTTTAAGTTTATTTATTTATTTATTTTGAGAGAGAGAGACAGAGAGAGACAAGGGAGGGGCAGAGAGAGAAAGAGAGGACCTCAAACAGGCTTCATGTTGTCAGTGCAGAGCCCTGTGCAGGGCTCAAACTCACGGAATGTGAGCTCATGACCTGAGCCAAAACCAAGAGTCGGGTGTTTAAACAACTAAGCACCCAGATGCGCCCATTGTATTAAAAAAAATTTTTTTAGTGCTTATTTTTGAGAGCGAGAGAGACAGAGGGTGAGCTGGGGAGGAGCAGAGAAAGGGAGGGAGACCCAGAGACTGAAGCAGGCTCCAGGCTCTGAGCTGTCAGTACAGAGCCCAACGTGGGGCTTGAACTCACAAACTGTGAGATCATGATCTGAGCCAAAGTTGGATGCTTAACTGACTGAACCACCCAAGTGCCCCTCATTTTTTTTTAAATTGATGACACATGGGATAATCTTATCTGGGCTTTGTCACTGGCTTCCCAGCACTGTGCAGTCAGCTCCCATTGCTCTGTGGCATTCATTTCTACAGCATCAGGATGCCGTTGTACAGATGGATAGGAACTGGTTGAGCCTGCCCGGTGGTGGCCTTTGTCCTCACAAATGACCGCTCTGTGACCACCTTTGGACATAAATCTCTGGATGCTTTGTAAGCGTACCCAAGAGAGAAATGTTTGGCAGCCGTACTGCTGTGATAAAAAGTATGAGCATTTTTTAAAGTTTGCTACATATTGCCAAATAGTCCTCTTAAAAGGCCGGACTGATTTATGTTTCTACAAATACAATTAAGAATACAAATCGAACCAAAGAAATACCATTTTGACCAATGTAGTGGGAAAGAGTCTAGGAAAGCAACAGGACGCCAGGTCTGGGAAGGGCGGGAGGGAGGGGGTTTCACCACATGAAACACCCCTTCTGCTCAGCAAGGGTTTGTGGAGCCCGGTCCCTTGGCCTCTGTGGTTAAGCTTGGTTCCTTTTCCCCCTCTGATTTCCTCCCCGCTGTGTCTCCTTTAGACTTTCCCTCTACGCTCAAGACCTTGTTCATGATGTTCCCCCAAAGCAAACCAAATCATGTCTCCTCTCTCTGGCCATTCTCTTTTCCTTCGTCCTGTTGAGGTGCCCGCAGACACCGCCCCACATGCATGGTCTGTTCCAGCCCCGTGCACTGCACCAGGATCCTTCAGGCTTCTGTCTGGACGAGGCCTGGCTGCCCACGTGCCCCTCCATCTTCCCCACCATGCACCGCAGTCATCATATTCTGTCTCAGGTTTCCCGTCCCTTTTCATCCAATTCTTTCCTTGGTAGGCTTTTAATAAACAGAAAGCAGCTCCTAGGCTGGGCTTCACCTCTCCTCTCCCACCCCCCGTAGAGAAATCATCTATTTTGTCCATTTTATCCCTGCAAACAGTGAACAGAAGCAAAACATGGTCAGATTTGTGGCTGTAGGTTGCCAAGGTTCAGGCAAAGATTTGGTTTTCTTGCTCAGTCTGTGAGCCTGCCACCCATCCTAGTTCTGGAAGACGGGGTGCCTCGAAGGCTACAAACATGGGCAGAGCCCAGGCTGGAGACAGTGAGGCTCACCACCTTGAAGAGGACAGGTGCTGAGCCTTCCTGAGGCGGGGGAGCTACAGGGATGTGGAGTTAGTACGGCAAAGCTTGCTCGTCTTGCTACTTTATTTGGTAAGTTTGACAAGGGAGGAATGGGAATAAGGGAACAAATGGTAGTTATTATAATTCAGGAAGTAAGAGACAGCCTCTGTCACTTTCCATTTCAGAAAGCGTTCTAGAATTTTACCGGTGGCCTTTTGTGACATTGCCACCAGGTGGAATGGTGTGCAGAAGACAAAGGCATGTCAGCACCCCATTTCTCATTTCATCGGCTATGAGCTCCAAGGAAGATCCATCATTTCATTACCATCAGTGAAGGACGCCATTACCGGCGGTGCCAAGACACCTAACCAAAGGTGAGTTATAGTTTGTAACTTGTTTTATGTACCTGTCTTTTATTTTTCCACTTCTGTTTTATGATTTCTTTTAACTTGAGAATTTGTGTATACTCCTACAGTGATTTTTTCTTTTTTAAAAACATTTATATATATATATATATTTTAATTTGAGTATAGTTGACACACGATGTTATGTAGTTTCAGGGGTGAATCACGACAGAGTGATTCAACATCTCTACACATTACACTATGCTCACCACACGTGTGGCTGCCGTACGACCCCATACAACACCAACACAATACCATCGACTGTGTTTCCTAGGCTGTGCCTTTTTCTCGTGACTTATTCTTTCCATAAATGGAAGCCAATATCTCCCACCCCCTTCACCCACAGACCTAATAATACCAATAATTGTCAAACGCATTACAGATTGCAAAGGTGTTTTACCCCTTGTCTAATTTCCACAAAGACCCAATGTAGTAGCCACTATTTCCATTTACAGATGAAGAATGGATGTGTGCAGTGAGGGAGTAGTGTGCAGACTAAGGGAGCTCATGATAGCTTGCTGGAGCCACCCCAAGCCGGCACATAGCAGGTACCCATGAATACCTGACGCATTGCTGGAACCAGACCTTGACCCAGGGCCCTGACTTGGAAGACAAGCTCTTTCCTCTGAAGGGGAAAAGAAAACAAAAATAACCAAAAAGCAAGAACAACAAAAGCCTTAGTTCTGGCTGACTTAGAAGGCATTTATCTGACAAATCAGTAATTTGTGGGCATTTGAAATTAAAAATATAAGCATTAGCAAGGTTGCCAAGTTATTATTGCATACTCATGGCAAAAACATGAAGCTGTACATGTATTAAAAGTGGAAGGATATCCAACATGAAGTTACCTCGAGATGCTGAAATTGAGTAGGTTTATTTTCATAAGGTTTTACGTATCTGCATTTTAAAATGTATTTGTCTTTTCTGTATTTTCCTCCTTAAAATATTGATTTTGGGGCACCTGGGTGGCTCATTTGGTTAAGAGTCCAACTTCAGCTCAGGTCATGATCTCACGGTACATGGGTTCCAGCCCCACATTGGGCTCTGTGCTGACAACTAAGAGCCTGGAGCCTGCTTCAAGATTCTGTCTCCTTCTATCTCTGCCCCTCCCCCACTCATGCTCTGTCTTTCAAAAATAAATAAATGTTAAAAAAATTTAAATATTGACTTTGTTGTTGCTTATCTGTGTTTTATGATTTTCATATTATTTGTTTTCTAATTTAAATGATGTACTTTTATGAATAGTCTAACTGGAAATACACTGAAGTAGTAGAACTTCAGGTAATTTTTAATTTTCTACTTATCTGCATTTGATAATTATTTAAAATCCATTTATTATCTAAATTAAATGATCTCTTTTCTTTTGGCTTTTCAGTAAACAAAACAGTGGTATCCATCTAAAGTTTTTGTGGTTAACTATATCTTTATTTTAATTTAAACTATTTGATTTTGCTTTTTTGTACTTTTCAAACTGTGTAGTGCTTGGATTAATTTTGCATTTCAAATGTTTTATTTGCTAATTGTTTTATTTATTTTCTAACTTTATTTGAGTAGCACAGTTTAGAGAATGTTTATTTCTTTATTTCTATGTATGCGTTTTCAAATTTTCCTACAATGTTATTATTTGCATCATAGTTTTCGTATTTAAACTTGTTACTGATTTTCTCAATTTCTGTGAATGTAATTTAAAGGAAAAAAAACTGAACAAAAAGATTATAAATGTACAAATCCTTATTCACAACAGCGCCAAGCTGGAAACAACAGGAAAAAACAATATCCACTAAATTCAGTATTTACACATTCAGTTGGAAGGTAGACTTTGGCAATTACACATCAGCATTTGATGCAATACTAATTAAGGAAAAAGTGACTATAAGATTGCATGGTTTTTCTGAGCATGGTCATTCTAACTAAACAGTGTACAGAGGGCACAGAGAGAAAACTGCAAGAAATAATTGAATTCAAATAAACAGGGAAAAGGTAGCTCTCTCACAAATCAAAGAGCTGAAAAGCTATTTGGACAAGCAACAGGGAAGTCAAATGATATTTCATGGGACTCACTCAATGCTTTATATAAAAGTAAGATTATTTGTCCCTTAAAAGAGGCAAACATGGCTTTTTGTTCCCTGTTAGCAATGTCCACTTCCGGCCAGGGCCATGGACAGGCTGCTCTGCCTGGTAACTAAGTGCCTCAAGGCCCATGCACTGCTGGAAGCGCGGGGGGGGGGGGGGGGGGGGGAGGGGGGGGAGGCCAGGAGGAAAAAAGCCCCAGGCAGGAAGCCAGGGGAGCCCAGGCCAGGATCCCTCCCATAGGCAGCTGGCTAAGCCTGTGCTTCCTGCCCTGGAGTTTGGGGGTGTCCGGTTTCAGCTATTGTGTTCTCACCTTGCAGGCTGGAGTCAAGATTATGCTAATTAACTCCAGGTCCCAGGTCTCCTGTTGCCTGGTGACAAAGTTTCAAAGTTTCACAGTTGAGGAGGAGGAACTGGCGTGAACAGGGTAAGTTTTTCTCTGGTGGTGGCCCTGCAATGATCGACTTACTTGAACTTTGCCAAACAACCACAGCTTCAAACTGCTTTTTGCTCTCCTCCTTTGAGTAAGCAACTTTGGAAATGCTGGTTCTCCCAGTAGGTATGCTTTATTTACAAACCCTAGACGCGAGCTAATTCATTATTTAGGAGAGGAGGAAGCTGGCCCTGAGCCCCAGGCAGGAAGGGGCAGCTAGCCGGGGACCTCTCTGGGGTCCCAGCCAGGCTTTCTTGGGTGCCTGGGGCCAAGGCTCATCGTGGTTAGGTCGGTGTGTGAGTCTGTGGGGCTTTGGGGTCATGCTTGGGTCTCTTGCCAATGTTTTGAGTCTGGAGCATTTTGCTGCTCCCACAAGCAGGGGAGACTAGCGTTTGAACTGCTTCTAAATCCAACCAATGACTGACCCCTCAAAGAAACTGCAGTGGGGGTACTCTTCTCTCAGGAGGCTGGAGCCTGATTACTGCTGACTGTGGTGGCTCTGGGGGCAAAATCCATCTTTTGAGAAGTCTGGAGGCAAACCCTTGGCACACGTTATCCTGAACATTGGGATCCATTAACAAGTAAAGTCCTAGGTGGGGCTGGGTCTTGCAAGGAGAAACTCGTCAAGGAACACACTAGAACACATGCCTTATGTCCCTATTTCCATGACAAGCTAAATAAGAGAAGGTAGGTGATCCTACTCCCAGTCTTTGTGACTTTGGACAGGCTACTTGGCCTCTCTGAGCCTCAGTCACCCCATATGTCCCATGGAGATGAAGATCAGTACATCAGGTGGTTATGAGAATTCCTTAGAATATCTGTAAAATAGAACTCCCCTATGACCCAGCAATAGCACTGCTAGGAATTTACCCAAGGGATATAGGAGTGCTGATGCATAGGAGCACATGTACCCCAATGTTCATAGCAACACTCTCAACAATAGCCAAAACATGGAAAGAGCCTAAGTGTCCATCAGTGGACGAATGGATCAAGAAGGTGTGGTTTATCTATACGATGGAATACTACATGGCAATGAGAAAGAATGAAATCTGGCCATGTGTCGCAACATGGATGGACCTTGAGGGTGTTATGCTGAGCAAAGTAAGTCAGGCAGAGAAGGACAATTACCATATGTTTGCACATATAGGAGGATTAGGAGGAACTTAATGGAGGACCGTGGGGAAGAAGAAGGTGAGAAATAGTGGGGGAGAGGGAGAGAGGCAAACCATGAGAGACTCTTGAATGCTGAGAACAAACTGAGGACTGATGGGAGTGGGGGGATGATGGGCATGGAGGAGGGCACTTGTGGGGATGAGCACTGGGTGTTATATGGAAACTAACTTGACAATAAACTATTTGTAAAAAAAAACAAAGAATATCTGTAAAATGTCTGGCCCATAGTAGGTGGTCAGTATAATCCATACACACAGTCTGAAAGCAGAAACTTCAAATATGTTAAAAACTATGCAGTCTTATTACTTTGCAAAGGGTCTGGCACGTAGTAAGTTATCAATACGTTTATGAACTGGATGTGATGTTATGTGAACCAAGTACTGAACACTGGCTCCTATGGGATGAAATGGGGAGTCAGAAAGGTTAGGAAATCTGTACAAAGTCACATATCTAGGGAGAGGCAGAACTGTGACTAGTTTCCAAGCCAGGGTGGCTCATATGCCTTCTGGGCTTGAGCCTCAGCCTGGAGAGGAGAAAGGAGGTACTGAGACAGTCACCCCCCACTCTGCAGAGCACCTGAGCTGCCACAGTTGCCTACAGACCGATTTTTGGGACTAGTGCCTGGTAGCTCTAATTTCCTCTTGGGGATTCCAGGGTCTCCTACTGTTGCTGATGAGAGGTGGGTGTGACTTCATGCTGCTCCATCCACCCATCATCTGGGCAATGGGAAAGTCAAACTAGGTGATGTTTCTTGGTCCCTGGCATCCCTAGAACACAGGGTGTGCATTGAAACAGGCCACCCCCCAAATAGGCATGATGGGGTCCGCTGCCACATCATCCACCACCAGCTTTCTATCCACTGCCAATTCGATTCATTGCCACCCTCCAATTTCTTACCAGTCTACATCATAGATCTCATCTCAGTCCCCAGAGCTGGGTCTGGTAACACCTCCTCCCTGATATTCTCTTCCTGATCCTTGGCATTCCCTTTGACATCTACCAGCTTTGGGTGCAGAGCATTATGTGCAGAGCTTCTACACCAATTGAATTGATCTCTGGTCTTTCAGTCTCTGTTTTGTTTTTATTGATTGATTTGCTTTCTCCAAAGATAATAGTTTCATGAGAAACACAGCAATGTCTATCTTGTTCACTGCATATCTTCCAACCTGACCTTGATCTATAGCATGACTCAAACACAAGTGTTGAATGAATGAATGAATGAATGAATGAATGGGCAAGTGAGTGGCTTGGACTGTAGCAAACTCTAGAGGTTAAAAGAGGACAAAGGTATAATTGTATCTTCTAATTATGACTACATTTTTTCTTTTATTATTAATATTATCATTAATAATTTGTGTTTAAAAGGTTGCAAAGACTTTTGTCCTTGGGAATTCACAAGGATCATTCTCACAAGTCTTACATCTGGTATTGTTGACCAGTGGGGAGTGTCCTGGGGCTACTCAGTGGAGAAAAGCAATCACTATGGTGCTTTTTGGTGGATCTACCACCATTATTTACCATCATAAAGGCACTGAGCACTTGCTACACACTGGTCACTCAATGTACACTCATCCTCGCATTTATTTTTCATAACAACCTACAACTTTCTGACCCATTTTGCTGACCAGTAAACTGAACTCATGACTAAAACCAGGCTGGCAGTAAAGATGGGGTGGAGTCCAGTTCTAACGGCTTCAAAGCCTCTGTGTTCCTTGCTGCCCGAGTGCCTGCCTCCTATTAAGCACTTATATTAAGTACAACAGGAAGGGAACAGACAAAATGGCTCACACGTGGGCACTACCTCTGTCTGGAAAATGCCGAAGAGCTGCCGCAACCTAAACCAAGTGCTGCTGGCTGTCTTTATGGCCATCCTTCCCACCACTTCCAGCAAGTTCCATCTATCTGCCTAAAGTCAGAAAAGAGGTGATGGTGCTGAATGCTTCGGTAATAATTTCAAGCAAGCCCAATAGACACTCAAGGAGGAGTGGGAAATCTGAATTCAGGAAATATTTCTGCAGAAAAAACTAATATTAGAAGTCACAGCATTTTTGAGAGACAGGTGCCTTACATGCAAGCACTGAGCCCCAAACCACCGTTTTGAACCCTTTAATCTCAGCATCCCTTTAAAAGTTAGACCCTGATTCTTCCAGTGGCCTCCCCATCTGGATGGAGAAAAGTTAGCCACTGTTTAGATAAATATCCTCCCCTGCATGGCACCACAGTTTGGGCCACCAACACATAAAAGGCCACGTGGTTTTTATATCACACTCATCTGGGCTTGATCAGGGTTTTGGGTGGAGAGCTTGCTGGCTCTGAGGGACCATCTCTGGAGGGAACAAGAATGGCTCCTTCCCCCTCTCTCTCCTCCACCACCACTGTCAGCATGGCCAAGCATGGGGCTGCCTCAAAACTGGTCTGTCTGCCTCCCACTTAAGTCGTAAGTCTGCAGGTGGTCGGGCGCTTTTCGTTGCCCCCCACCTCCATCTGCAACTGCTGCCAGGCAAATCGGGGCTCTCAACTCACAAGAGACACCATCACCATCCATCACCAAGGTTCCCATTCGCTAGGCACCTGTACAAGCCGACCTTTTCCTCCTGTGCAATCCTCACACTGCCCCACTTTACCCGAGGAAACGGAGGCTTAGAGAAGGACTGTGGCTTATCTTACACAGAAGGAGGAAGTAGGAGTTCAGGATGTGAGCCAGGCTGGTCCACTTCCAAAACCGTGGCCCTCTGCATGTGTGGTCCCTTCTTGTCTTTGTCCAGGGAATATTTTCTCAGATTTTCCCCTTTGACTCAAATATGTCCAATATTTAAAAATCTTTCTTGCGAGCGTGCACACACATACACACACCTCTTTTAAACAGGGTGATATGAGTGGTTTTACTGAATTCTTGAGATTGGAAAGGAAATGTGTGTGTGTGTGTGTGTGTTTGTAACTTTCTTTCTTAATTAGAAGTAGATTTTGTACCTATTGCAGAGAATTTGGAAACTACATAGGTGTTTAAGGAAAAAAGTAAAAATAACCTGATACCATACTATTCAGAAGGGCATTCTTGCTCATATTTGGATGTTCTTCCATTTTTTTCTGTAGGTGTGCGTGCATGCTCATGAGAGCACTAGCATCATATGTGCACATAACGTGTTCTTCATAACATTATATCTCAAAAGATTTCCTTTTAGCATTTCTGGAAAATGACGTTATTGTTTTGTTTTAGTTACTGTTGAATATTAGCTTCATTCTGTGACTGCGCAGCAATTATTTAATCAGTTGCCCATTGTTAGATATGTGGATTGTGTCCATTTTTTTTAAATTATCTTAAGTGGCACTGCCATAAACATATTTATACAGAACGTTTGTTCTTATTTCTTGAAGAGAAATGCTTAGAAGGGACATCTGTGCTTCCTAGCTAGCCGGGGGCTGGGGGGTGGTGTCCCTCCCAGGATGGTCAGCCCCGTGCCATCAGACCTCCTACCTGATTCCTGCTCTACCTTTACACTTGTTCCTTCCTACGTTTAAAAGCTTTTCTTTCCCTTTGGCTTAACCCAATTAAAACTTCATTTGTTGTACTGTGAACCCGCTTTCCAGCCTCCCTGCACACTTAATCTCACAGCCAAAAAGTTGATCACGCCACTGTTTACAGCCAGTTGCAAAGCCTTCTTGTCCTCAAGGGCGCCCCACCCAGGGCTGGGTACACACTCGGTGACTAATAAATATTTGGTGTGAGAGTGATATCCTTTCCCCCCATAGACCTCTCCCTTAAAACATAGTCTGCATGTTCTAGAAGTCCTTTCAAAGTAGGTGGAAAAACAGTGGGTCAA